CAATATAATGTCATCCGGTAATAAATTAATTTCCTAACAGAAACAAACGTTTTTATGGCTTTAGGTCGCCCAAAACTGAAATGCCGAGTAAATATTTACGCGGCCAGTACATGTTTAGTGTGAAGTACTCAGCTTCCATTGTAAAGACTGGTACTCACAAAGCTATCAATACGCGAACAGAATTGAGACTTTCTAATAGCCTAAAAATGTGAAAACAAAAGAGTCGAGAAGTGTCTTCAAGCAAGAGTGAATAGGTCAATAACCTATTGCATATGTCTACTGTTAATGCAAGAGGTCGTATGTATAATAGAAAGAGTAAACCTTATTTTTGAAAAAACATTTTGTAATTTTTCTTTCGTGTACTAACAAACCATCGAAAAAACTTTCTTTTTTCGTAACTTACATTTTTTGCAGTTTTTATTGAAACACTATTTGATGTTTCTTCACGACTTTTTTCGCCATCAGTTGAGATAATTTTTATCAACCTATCAAATTTCCATCAAGCAACTCGTGATAAATCGGCGCAATAAATACCATGTGCTCCTCTTCGCAAATACACAGCATATAATACACAGTTGCTGTGCGAGTTATTTTAATTAACAGTTTTACGTAGTTAACATAACCGGGGCCTACCTATCATTTTACAGGTGCTACTCCAACCCATTGGAAAGTACTATTTATGTGCGAACGTGGCAAACGAGCTGGCGGTTCCCCTGATGGTAAGTGATAACCGCCCATGGACGTTTGCAACTCCCGTATGGTTGCAGATGCGTTGCCACCTTTTAATCAAGTGTGCCCCAACAGCCTCACTCACCAGACGAAACGCAGAAGTGTAACACTTCTACTTTACGCCGGTCTTCTGTGAGGTCGTGGTACTTACCCGGACGGGCCTGCCCATTCGTGCAACAGCGAACACTGTTGCGTATCCCTACTACAGTTATCACTTTATGTCAGTTGTCACTACATGGAGACCATCCTTCATAACTAGCCACATCTAATATATAAAATTCTCGTGTCACGGTAATTGTAATTGAACTCCTCCGAAACGGCTCGACCGATTTTCGTGAAATTTTGTGTGCATATCGGCCAATGTGGAGAATCGGACACCTATTTTTCATCCCCCTAATAAATGTTAAGGGTGGTCCACCCTAAATTTTTATTTTTTATATCATGTTTTGTTTTTATTTTATTTTTTAAGATACAGCATACATACAACACTAAATTTTCACCCCTCCACGCAGACGTAGTCGCGGGCAGTAGCTAGTAATTTAATAAAAGGCGACAACTTACGTGTTGAAACGTTGAAACGGTAAACGTGCAAACCCACTTTTCGAATGTTAGGTTAGACGATTAGCTCGTAGAGTTCACAGAGGTAAGCCAAACTCGGATAATGCTAAAATCTACACAACTCTTTAAAACGCGATGCCGCTGATGACTTGAGTTTAATCTAATTGACTGTTGTTATTCCATTCGTAATTTTTTCATTTGAAAAGCTCATGTTAAGTGATAAACGCCACCCGACGATATCTACAACGCCTGAGAGCAGAAGATGCGTTGTCGTCCTTTTAAACAAATATGCCCCGGCAACCTCACTCGCCAGAAAAGCCTTAGAGTAACTATGAAATCAAAATATCGACACCAAAGCTCACGACTTTTAATACCATTTTATGTTTCCAACGTCATATGTATGTTTCAACATTAAAAATTCGTTACACAAATTTTTAACCGCCAACATGTCAAGGAAACCGCGTAATTATGTATTCACAAACTTCAGGTCTCCATAAAATTGAGAATACGCATAAAATACACGCAACGCTCTTAACAATAACAACTTTTAATACGCACTTAATGCAATATGACAACATATTTAAGGCTTCTTACACATTTAGTACAAACATATAGACACAAATGCAAACTTAGGCCCATCTCAGACGTAGCTATAATATATAAAATATAAATTACCATAGAAATGTGATTATTCATTTTGTTTTGCTATACCATAATAATAATTTCTACATATGAGTATGATTTAGTGAGGTAATAAAACTATATATTACAGTTTACTTGTACGGTTAGTTAAACATTACTATAAAAAATACGCAGCAACATAACTAGCTATATTTAATATTTATATTTATATCATAGCTACATCTGAGATGTGCATCACTCCTAGCTAGGAGCATATAGCTATATATAAATATAGGGTCAATTTTACTATAGGTTTCAATATGAGAACAATAGACGAAGGCACCTTACAATAAATAATTTCATATAATCCAAGCTGAATATAAACAAAACTTACACATTTAACAATCATAAGAAAAATGTACACACGAAATTAGAGATTATAAAACCACATGAACGATCAAATTAGGTGACATAAGTAAATCATGCATCATAATACCAAACTGGACTATATTTTGTATAAAAAAAACCCAGTTTCAAAATGTACAAATATTGCATGCAAAATTAGACAAAGTTTAAAATAATGTAATCTCATATTAACCGAACTCTAAACAGCTCAGTGTAAGTTGAGCAATAAAAAAACACTATAGACTATATAACGAGATGGTCTTCACAAAAGCGGAGTGTGATTTAGCAGTCAAAATGGCTAACGTCCAAACATTGAGTACCAATCCCAGACAGAGCAATATTTGTCACTTATCAACGACATATAATTCAGTTTTATTATTTATACATTATGTAACTGACCATGCAGGGCAGGATTTAGGGGAGAGTAAACGCAAAGAGGGGCCACCACAATAGAGACACATTAGAAATTATATGTTTGTTAAATAATAAATCCTTATTTTGTTTCACAATAAATTATTTATTGGAAAACTCAACTGACAAAAATTGTTCATCTTATTTGGAAAATAATTTGGGGCCAAGGGGCCTCCACTCCTTTGTTGCCCCGAGGCCTCCAGACCTCTAAATCCGGCCCTGTGACCATGACTTTTCTTAAAATTGGGAAGTAACATGAGAAACATATCAGACGGAATTTTTTTTTATATCGAGATTTCCTGTGTCAGATCATAGTAAGAGACCGATTATACAATCAAGAAATCCTTGCAGACGCACTCAAAGATCTCAGTTATTGTTCACTTGTCAAGTGTAGAGCTTAATTATTAATGAATCTCATCACCATATTTGGCTGATAACGAACTGGTGTATTAGTTTATCTATGTCACATTTATTGAACCTTAATTTTATAAACAAAAGATGAATTTTCAATGCTTATTAATCACATTATATTTTATTGAATCAATACATTGCCCATAACACTAATTATAAAGCAAACATACATGACGTAGTTCAGATTAACTACATCACCAATTAAGACAGGCAAATTTTATCAATGCGTAATAAAGCCTTCAGGAATGGATCAATTCTAACATATATTATGTTGGTTATTGGTCATTAAATACGAAATGGAAGTGATAATATAAAAGTACAAAATGGAATGGATCAACGAAATACAAATGAATATGGAGGTACACATTTACACTTTTCTTTTGTGAGTAAATACATAATTATCATAAATATGGACACACCGACACTGGAAATATTATATTCATCCCACACCCATCCACTACGCCAATTGTGTTGTCAACATAAACAGCTGTAGATATTTTGGCCTCGATTTATCTTTAAATAGCCTAATCACTGAGTTGAAAGCCATTTTGCACCATAAATTATTATTTAATCATTGTGCTAGAAAGATTATTAACAATATTCTTTGCACAATTTGTTAGGATTGATACCTGATTTAGTAAACCCACAGATCTCTCGCTTATTATTTATATATTAAACTTTGTTTAGAAAACATTGTAACCGAACTCATTTCGCCAAGAATACTTGGTAATTCTTGGTAAAGAGATTGATATTCACTTTGGCTCAAGAGACCATAATCACTACGCCAACGGGGTCACTAATAAAACAAAAAAGTCATCTATGTCGTCTCGTATGACCGTAGAGTCATTGGCGAACTTTCACAAAAGTAAACTTTCCCATAGAAATTTGAGTTTTAGTTGAATGATTTCACAAGCCAGTTTCCTATTCAAATTTAACCTTATATTACAGAAAACTTAATCCGTTTCAGCCGCCGTAGGTAAAGTCAATGACCGTTAGTTTTAAAATTTACTTACAGTTATAATAAAAAAATTGTTACATTCATCACTTGAATGGGGTTAATGTAATACTAAGGCTATTTGTAACAGACAGTTTTTTGTGTAACTGTACTTTGGTGTTGGCTATTTATGTTTTTTATGTTAAAAAAATTATGAAAGCTAAAAAGTAAGGGTCTATATGTTATGTATAGCATGTTATGGCATTATAACCATTCCAATGTATAAAAATTTGTGGGGTATATTTTAAAAATGTAAAAGTCAATTCCAGACAGATTGAAATGTGACAGGCTTGTAGATGTATGCTGTAAGGAAATTTTGAAAGCTCCTTGGTGGGAAGTCATCATAATTCTCGTTGAAGACAAACCCCCTGACCATAGACATAGTAACCAGTTTAAAACCGCCTCACTTATTTATAAAGAAAATATGAAACTAACATTTACATTTTGTGTATTCCAGTAGTATTTATTGTTTATTCATGAAGCCAATTTGGTTTTATATAAGATATATTAAGCTTATTTTTCATTAGTTAGGATGAGATTCACATACAACACAAAAAAAGTTCATGGCCTTTTTGGTTTAAAAACAACGCAGTTTCCGTGAGGAATATATAAATTATGCTCAATGCTAAACAAGAGATAAATAACCACAGTCACCATCAAAATTGAGCTTTGGCAGCCCGCAATAAGGCTCACATTCATTTCCCATTTCATAGTTCGGATTCCGCGATACGCAAGAGAAGAACATGGAATGGAGAAGTACGATAGCGATAACGTGTCACCACAAATTTTAACTATAGACCTACTCTTTAAGGTCCATTTTCGCTTGCTATACATAATTCGGCTAGACGCAACCTCCGCCGCTGGTCCATTATAACTCCTGCCTCGTATCGCTGTAGAGCGGGACCTCCTTGTATTCCGGGAATGGGTACAGGACCAGATGGTCTGCGGTCTTGTACCAGGGGATGAGACCGTTCTGGAAATAGAAAATTTCATTTAACTATTTATTTAATGTCTTGGGTTCAAATCCCACACGGCACAGGTGTCTGTAGCACACGTAATTGTTCAGGACCTGGGTGTTTGTTCCCAAGGATGGTAGACGTCGTAAACAAACCGGCCAGTACCACTAACAATGGGAATGTCTATGAACCGATGACGTCTGTACAATATTACGGCAGCATATTGGCATCTCCACCTGTGAGGTTTCTGCATAGTTGTCAGCTTTTGATAACGGGCCCTTGATATCTGGCTATTATATTTTAATATAATATTACGTGAAGCAAAAATTTTGTACCCCTTTTTACGAAAATTGCGCGGACGGAAGAGTATGAAATTTTTTACACTTACAGTTTATATAGAGAAGGAGTGCAGAATGGTAATATTTTTTATTTAATTATGCATAAAAATACATTACATAGACTACCACGTATTCAATTATAGTCGAATTTCGACCAATTGGTGACCACTAGTTAGTATAAATAATTTTACTTTATAGCATTTCATTGTAGCATTGGCATACTATAAAGTATTACAGCTTTTTATTTTAAGAGAATCAGTAATGAGAAATGTTGTCAATTGTTGTCAGTTAACATTAAAATCTATGTATAGTATCCTCTTAAACCTCATCCCACTGCATATATCGTTAATTTATTTTTGACGAGATATAAAATCAGAGAGTCTATCTCTATTCTTACCTCCATAAATTCTGTGTACCAGTTGCGTTATCAAGAGTGGGGGAAAAACATATTCACTCAACAATTTCTGCATCGTTATAGTGAGCATCAAATCATTTTGTATTATTTATAAAATTGTATTTCCAACAAACAATACATCTAAATTAAAAAAAATAGCGATTACCCTCCATTTATACTGATTAACGTCAACTGATAACGGCAAAATACAATGCTTATCAAATTTACAAACTCACCAAATTGGTTCTTTTGTTTGTGCCGCGGCCGTAACCATTCCAGTGGTTCCCGGCTACGCCAATCAGATCACCAACCTGCAATTCGACGTAACCAATTTAAACAGAATATTATATCAGAACAATTAACAATATTATATTATATCCTCTGGCGAGCTTCGGTCTCGCATTTACGATGTTGACTATTATCCTTTCCATGAGAATATATAAAAAGAGATGTGAAGCACTCCAATCCGCTGTGGGGCCGGTGGACTACGCAACTGTTGAGTTTCTTGCCGGTTTCTTCTCAACAGAAACTGCTTTCCGAACCGGTGGTAACTTACGAACATATTAATTTCCTTGTAAAATTTCGACGTTTCATAACAACGCGCAAGCGTCTATGTGAATAAAGATATTTTATTATTATATTATTTATTTATTTATTGATACCCTCTGATGTTGATCCGATATATACTAATACAAAATATTCGTTATGGAAAATCGTACAAATTTTTGAAATTCGAATTCGGGAGATCGTAGGTGTCAAATGTTAAATGCTTAATTAGCGTTCGTGTCTAAAAAAGCTACGCAAGCAAAGTAGAGTTGCAAATGGAACTTTTCTTTATAATTCTGCGACAGCACTTTTGGTTGCATCTAGAGAAGCGTAGCAATAAGCCAGCAGATCAGACTGACTCCGATCCAACTCTGTCAGGACGTCTTAGTTAAGTCAATTAGAAATAAATTAATTTCTAATTAGTTTTAAAACTTGACAACGTTGTGTAAAAATGTGCCCTAAAATATTTATTTCTTTATTTCTGTAAATAAAGTTTTTTTTTATAGTGCTAATCTCTGCACATAAATAATGTTTAAATGTTCAATCTTAAGTGCAGAGATTAGCACTATAAAAAAAAACTAAAATTTATAAAAGCAATGGCGACATCTCTCGTTTGAAGTTATCGTTGTAAAACGATATTCGAAATTGTTTGTATGTTGGAAAGGATATAACAATAGATGCGCCAAGCATTGCTTCAAATGCTAAATAACAATGTAGAAAGAAGGCGTTTTAAGATTTTCGTCGCTGTCGCTATATGCCGTTTAGCTCAGTGGCAAGAGCGTCAGGCCGCGAATGCCGAAGACGTGGGTTCGATTCCCACAGCGGCGACAATCTTTTCGTACTTTTTCTACATGTTTCAATTATTATTTATCATCATCGCGAAATGGTCACCTGGAAGGATATGTCCTCCTTTCCGAGCGTGTTGTGCGCCATAACCGCTTGCCGGTCGTGAGCGTTCTGCCCGCCGAAGTAGTAGATGTCGTCCAGCGAGAAGAAGCTGTCCGAAGCGTCCACTCGATTCGTCTGCATCATCTCGTAGGCAACGCGACCGACCTGCGACGAACATAGGGCTCTTTAATATGGTAACAAGCTGTGGCGAACAAGTTAAATATGTTATTGTCTTTGAGATAATGTACCAGACTTGTGTTATTGTCGTTGAATTAATTTACCCGCTTTATGTTAATCTTAATCTACTGTGTGTCTGTACTGTGTACTGTATCTTATGTAATGAAAGTCGGCAAATCGTACCGAGTACATAAATGTACCGAGCACAACTGTGTTTGTTGAAACTAAATAAATATTCATTCATTCATTCATTCAAATAGACTTCACCATCATCATAATCATTTCAGCCTGTTTGAGTCCACCGCTGAACATCGGCCTAACCCATAGACTGCCACGAAGCACGATCCTGCTTCCATCGACTTCCCGCACACTAGCACAGTGGGGCGTCTACTGGGTGGTAAATAGATCATAACGAAATCCTTATGTCCTTACAAATATTATAAACGCGAAAGCTTTTATGTATGGACGTATGTTTGTTATTGTTACTCTTTCACGCAAAAACTACTCAATTGATTTTAATTAAACTTTAAAATAATATAGCTCATACATCAGTATAACACATAGGCTATAATTTATAAACATATTGTGACAATTCTTCAAAATATTAAGAATCAAGTAAGTAGGATAAAATTTTGCCATCTGCAAGCTATTCTGGTTTATAATAAAAAAGTCATTGCTAATTTCTATTGAACGCGTGAGTGAACAGCGGTTAACAGCTAGTATGTTAATGAATTTGCCCGTTACTATATTACAAGTTATTCATTTCGATAACATTTAAATGTTATTGCAAAATTAGAATAAGGGACTTCGGTGAAAACCTTAACAAATTTGAAAATAATAGATAGAGTTTACAATTTGCGCGTAAGACTGTACTCGATGAGGGGGAAGGTGGCTACATTAACCGTGCATGTAAGGTGGCACAGTAGTAAGCACCGTAAGTTGAACATAACCAAATAAAAACAGTTCCAGTTTTATCACTGCCATTATTTTCGCAAACCCGTGAATTGTGTGTACGAATGAAAAGGGAGTGGGTTTGAGTCACCCGGCTGCTGAAGGTGCAGTTTCATATAGTGTTTTTTTTTAAAAGCATTGAGAGAGTAAGTAAGAGATAAAGAGAGAGGGGGGGTGGAGGGAAGAGAGAGGGGGGAAAGAGGGAGGGGGAAGAGGGAGTGGGAGGGAGAGGAAGTGGGAGGGAGAGGAAGTGGGAGGGAGAGGAAGTGGGAAGAAGGGGAAGGGGCGGAAGAGAGGGGGGGAAGGGGGAGGGGGGGGGAAGAGAGGGGGGGAGGAGGGGGGGGGGGGGGGGGGGGAAAGAGGGAGGGGTAAGAGGGAGTGGGAGGGAGAGGAAGTGGGAGGGGAAGAGGAAGTGGGAAGAAGGGGAAGGGGCGGAAGAGGGAGGGGGAAGGGGGAGGGGTTAGGAAGAGGGGGGGGGAAGAGAGAGGGGGGGAAAGAGGGAGGGGTAAGAGGGAGTGGGAGGGAGAGGAAGTGGGAGGAAGAGGGAGGGGGAAGGGGGAGGGGTTAGGAAGAGGGATGGGGGATTTGACCTGGCTGCTGAAGGTGGCGACGAGGTAGTCGCAGCTGGAGAGCATGTGCAGGTCGACGAGCAGGCCGGTGAGCGAGAGCGGCGTGTAGCGGCGGTGCGTGGCGGCCGTCTGCGCGATCGACGCGTCGCCGTGGAACACGTACGACGGGTACTTGGTGCGCGCGTCCGCCAGCACCTGCCGGTAGCGCGACCCGTCAACCGACCCACCCACCGCTGGCCAAATACCTCGTCTATACATGAGGTGCACAGTCCGCGGCCACGTATCTTCGAATTGTTCGTTTGTGGCGTGTACTCCGGCGAGTGGCCGGCCGTAAACGCGAAGTTAAGCAACAGCCTGTATGTGTCCCACCGCTGGGTTAAAGCCTCCTCTGTGCAGTGAGTGATAGGCGTAGTCCACCACGCGAACCCGCTTTTCTGTTATCATTGCGAAAATGCGCATGTCTCCTCGCGACGTTTTCCTTCACCGCAAAGCGCGCGAAGAGTCAGCGCTTAAAATTGATAATTTGATTGGTGCTCCGGCACTTCGAATTAAACTCGTTTTGCGTGTATTTAGTTAAAAACGAGCGCCCAACGCGATCTTCGTCTTTCTTCTGCCAATTTCCCACCAAGGTGGGGTCATATCATGTCAGGATAAATTATAAAAGGTTTAAAACGCTAACAAATAAGTTAAAGTGAGTAAGTTTTATTTATTTTTAAATCACTCTTACTGCAGGATAACATTATCCTGTGTTTTAGGAGCGTTTATACGCTAATAATTCAGATAATTTCACGTGGACAAACACCCACATCCGAAACAATGATTTGTGGCTCCAACATGTGGGAATCAAACCCACGACCTTAGCCAAGAGCTTCGCAACAGCACCACGGAGTTCAATAATTTATTATTATTAATTTGTAAAACTTAAGGCCAGTTTGTTGTTTTAAATTATTCAAAGAAAAAAAGACCATCATTTACTCAAATAACATGAACAGGAATTCTTGGTGATTTGTTAACTTACGTTAGCGTCGTCAGTGGCCAGATAGACCCTCCTAGCGTCCAGGGTCCTGGTGAGCTCGAGCTGATCGTAATAGTCCTTCACGTGGGTCATGTACTCGTGTATGTGGTGGAAGGCTGCCTCGGTACCCACTTTGTCTGTGCGCCTGATGTGGACACTGCAGAATAGATAACACATAGACTGTAGAATAGACAGATACCTTTAGTTAACCCCCGACGTAAAAAGAAGAATGTTATAAGTTTGAGGTGTCTGTCTGTATATTTTTGTGTCTGTGGCGTTGCAACTTCGATTGCAGTTACGATGTGATGTTATTTGTTTGAAAGCTGACAAGATCGTGAATCGATCATGATCGAGAGGGTTCTTAGCTATGATTTGAGGTTTTTTTTGTTAGGAGGTTACTTTAAATTTAAAATTTCATATTGTGGAAAACGAGCAAGCTATTTTCCCGACTACATATGATAAGCACCACCCATAAAAAGAAGCATCCACATTCCTTAGTTGTGGGCCTCCAGTTACCACGAAGGTATGAAGAAGTCTTAATTAATACTTCTATTCTATTCTTTTGCCAACTGAGTCCTGACGATATGACTAAAAGATACTATAATATGACTGTCTAATTCCTAAGTCAAAGTAGTGCAATCCTCTTATCACAGAGTTTATCAGGTCTTAATCCTAATAGGAACAGAAGAAACATATCTTGTAGAAACTGATTGGAATGGTATAAGAAGATAGTGGTTCACGAGACTCTCAAAATATAAAGTCGCAAAAAAAATCATCAATGTATCTATGTACTTGTTATATTGTTATATAAAACTTCTTTATCACATTTAATTTTGATTATAAATAGCCAAACTGTGAAGGGCCTCCTCTGTGAATTGACGGACCTCACATATCTGCGAAATATATATATGTTTTTTGTTATTATTTCGAAAGTAGAATTTTGTGTGTTTTAGGTTTCCTCACGATGTATTCCTTCACCGTTGTGCACGCAATCCTTTATTTAGTAATATTTATTAGCCATGTAAACATTAAAAAATACCCTAAAGACTTAACAATCCTAATGGCAAATCAAGAGAGAGAAACAAGTTCTATAAATTCGATCACAACACGACAAACATATTACACGGACGCCAATAAATTTTAGACATTAGTGATTCATCGCTTTCGGTACAACGACAAACATCGCGTGCAAACGCAATTTCCCGCTTCACAGCATGCCTTTAATGGCGGAAAAACCATGCGACAAGAGCTCAAGCGGACAACTTCATAAACACCGAAGTAAAGCTCTTATCGCCAGTTGTAATCGATTATTACACACGTAAAAATGTACCAAAAGACAAAAACGTTAACGTTAAGGAAGATTGTGGTATACACGATATGTGTCGCCGAATGGCGTAGTGGGTAGTGTACCTGCCTCCTGCGCCAGAGGGCGTGGGTTCTATCCCCACTACTGGAAAAATATTGTGTGATGAGCATAGAGTTTTTCCAGTGTCTGGATATTTATATATTTATAATATGTATTTATTTAAAAAAGAAAAGTATATTTATGTATGTTTATCAGTTATCTAATACCCATAGTACAAGCGTTGCTTAGTTTGGGACTGGAGAACGATACATACATACATACATACATTAATTTATATTACTGTATACAAATTAATGTATGTATGTATATAAATATGTATTTATGAGTGTGTATGTGTATACATGTATGTAATCGATTTAGTCATATATTATGTATGTTACTATTGCACCACCAGCTTAGTAAACGTTCCTTTACGCCATTGGTTGCCTGGAAAACGTCGCTAAATCGCTATAAAGCGATAAGGCCGCCATTATTTTGTTTTATTATTCCATTAATTTGTTTGTCTATTGTTAATTTTGTGTATCCTATGTGTGGTGGACAATAAAGTATTCATTCATTTATAAATTACAAGAATAGAAAAATGTTTACCCAACGATGGGACGTTTGAAGTTCATCTTGGATATTGTGTCGTTGATCGCCTTCCGCATGCCGTCTCTCGGCTTCAGTATGTACTTCAGCATCTGGCCAATCCACCACGAGGCAGGGTCGCCGTTGAACCGCACTATCCTTAAGGCAGAGTTAGACTAATTTCAACTTTAAAGTAAACAGTGATAAGGTATAAATTGGATCGGCGCAAATAGTTTTAGCGCCGAACCAGTGGTATTGCGTATCCTGGTAGAGTTAGACCAATTTCAACTTTAAAATAAAAGGAAATAAGGTATAAATTGGATCGGCGCTGATAGAGTTTTAGCCGAACCAATAGTATTGCGAATCCTGTTAGAGATAGGCCAATTTCAACTTCAAAATAAACAGATATAAAGTAAATTGCACGATCATGGCATGGTTAAACTGATTTCATCTTTAAAACATACAAAAATAAGGTACAAATTGGATCGGCGCTGATAAAGTTCTAGCGCCAAACCAATGACAACTTTAAATTCGGATAAACAAAGTGCATATTGGATTGTCGTATAATTTTAAGGTATACGTGGGGCACAATTGCCAAAGTATTGGCTTCGTCGCCAGGGGTCGTGGGTTCGATCCCAGGAACAACTATTTATGTGTCCCACAGAAAATTGTTTCGGATCTGGACGTTTGTCCAAGTAAAATTTTATGTAAAGCGTCATTACTGCACTGGATAAAGTTATCGCACAGTGAGAGCAATGTTTTCTAAAGAAAAATTTTGGCACCAAAGCAATGACACCTCTAAAATTACCAAGAATAAGGTTAAAAGTCGCACGACGTACGTTATAATGAGAAATAGACAAACCTACGCGTACCTATGTGCCAGGTCCTTCGGTATCGCCAGCGGCAGAAATTTCGGCTTCTGCGATATCGAGTCGATGAACGGGAGGGACACGACTTTGGCGTCGTACCTTACTGAAAGAACAGAATGAACACAGTTCGCAATCAATCGCATTGACTACAGTGATTAAATTTTTACGATGGTAGGCCCTCGCAGCAGCCTCGGCTGTTGCACGAATGGGCAGGCTCGTCCGGATAAGTACCACGACCTCACAGAAGACCAGCCTAAAGTGGAAGTATGGCAAATACTTTCGCGTTTCGTCTGTTGAGTGAGGTAGCCGGAGCCCAATTTTCAAAAGGTTGTCAACGCATCTGTAACCCTCGGGTGTAGCAGATGTCCATGGGCGGCGGTATTCATTTAATATCAGGTGAACCGTCTGCTCGTTGAACTTTTCACATAAAAAAATTATCTTTCCTAGAAGATGTTATCGCTTTCAGTGTTAGGTTAGGATAGCGGTTTTGGGTGGGGGGAGGGGGTACCTCACCAAGTATCACCAAGGGGAAGGAGGGGGGTGGGGGAGGGGTTACCTCACCAAGTATCACCAAGGGGAAGGAGGGGGGGGGGGGAGGGGGATACTAAACATCACGTGATTAATAAGCCCTCCGAACAATAATATAACGAGTTGGCGGTTCACCTGGTGTTAAGTAATAACCGCCGTCCATGGATATTTGCAACACCAGTAGGGTTGCAAGTATCAAATGCATTGCCATCTTTAAATAAAGGGGGCCCCGGATACCTCACTCGCCAGAGGAAACGCAGAAGCGTAACACTTCTACTTCAGGTCGGCCTTCTGTAAGGTCGTCCGACGGACCTGCCCATCCGTGCAACAGTGAAAACTGTTGCGTGGCTCTCTGTCACATCTCTCAATCATCCGATGATATAGTATGTCTTACGTCGAACAAACAATATGCAATTGCATGTCGTCGTCGTATATTACTAGTATATTATTAGTACTTAAAAACGACAATGCCCTTTGAAGGCTTACGGCCTTCTGCTATTCTGCGTTAGTTGCACCGTGCTTACAGTGACACCGTCGTCCAATCGTTGAGACCAAAATACTATCGGCATTCAGATTGTTGCTCGCGTGTGTTCAGTAACGTTTTTTTTTTTTTTTTATGGAGAAAAGGGGCAAACGAGCAGGAGGCTCACCTGATGGTAAGTGATTACCGCCGCCCATGAACGTGATTTGTGTGTTGAGTCGTGTGCGTATCGTTCTATACCTGGCCATTGCAGCACCTTGTCGTTGTAAGCCGTCGTGCAGCTGTCCGATATAGGGTGGAAGACGTAGTCCCACCCCTTGCTGTTGTAACGCCACCCCTTCGAGTTCAGTATGAGGGTGCGCTCCGTCGCGTAGGCGAATATCAGGCAGTAAACTATGTGGTGCAACTGGCAGCCGAAACCGCAGCCCTGTTTGAAGGGGAAACGATAATGAGTAACACCTTTTTACCGTACACGTTCTGTGTTTTGCGTGGAAGGGTCTGGGAAGTGAATCTCAACGACCGCTGCCGCCTAGAAAGATCTATTGTATCGCTCACGTTATGTGGTTAAATGATTTTTATGTTTTTTAAGCAGACTTTAAAAAAGGTGGATTTCAATTCGGCCTAATATTGTTACCTCAGAACTCTGAGTCATTAATGAACTTTAATAATTAATTTGCATTTGGTTCAATTTAGATACCATATGAATTTCTTTGTTTTTGACTCTGGACCTTGCACTCTGGAGATACGCCCGTAGTGTTGAATCTACGTTGCCAACCCCTTAAGAAAGTGAGGACGGACCGGTTAGTTACCTCACCTCGATTAGAGACCAAATACAAAATGATAAAAGCTTCTACTACACGTCGCTTTGAGACCACAACGGATCCAAAAAGTTTTCTAACGACCGTGATAAGTCTTGATTAGTCCTAAATAAAAATATTAAGCAAATATTTTATTTAGAAATTATCTTTTTAGAATAAATCCAATGCATTTATGAGATACATGCATTTTGAGGGGTAGGGGTAGGGGGAGGGGGAGGGATATGAGCCAAATCTGACGAAATCTCATGTTAATTAACGCCCCCTTATCAAAAGGTAAGGCTTTTAGATATGTAGATCCATAGCTTATATGTATATTTGTATTACAGGCACTTTCGATTGAGTGAAGCCAAAGGGTTCAATAATAATTTATTGTGAGAACAAGCTTATTTAATAAAACGCCCCGAGCAAATTTCATATCGTTGACCTTTAAGTCGGCGCACATATATTTAACAACGACCTTTATTAACTCCTTGTTGACACAATTATGAACGCATGATTAAATGAAGCGCCGGCACAAACGTATCTTTGTTCAAGTGCATGTATGACGAGCCTCTTTGTAAAAGAGTATCTAACTGGTATATAAATTTAAATCTGAGATTAGTATACAAGTTGTCCATTTTTTTTTTGGGCATTGAAATATAAAACATTTAGTTAGTTATTCAGAGCCAAAAACATGAAAATTTGAACTTCATTTTGAGTGCATTAACACGAAAAATTAAAAAAATAATCAAAAATTTAAACAGCAAGTCCGACAACTCTCGTTCAAATATTCATTGTGAAATATTAAAAGTGTTGGAATACAGTAGTTTCCCACTAGGAGGCGCCAAGCGTTGGTAAAAATCCAAAATAAAATTTTACTTACAGTGGTCGAGATTTTCACTCAGCGAGTATATTAGCCACTTAGCTAAGTTGGCTAGAAGAAACAGGTTCGAAACCTGGCAGCGTCGAAGAAAAAGTTTGCGAAAACTTATCTATCAAACTCACGCTTAAATTTTATATTGACTGCAGATTTGCACCAAAATTAAAAAAATAATCTGAAAGTCGGTGCATGCAGGTTGCTCAGGATCGTACTTTATGGCAGTCTATGGGGGAGGCCTATGTTCAGCAGTGGACTCAAACATGCTGAAACGATGATGATAATGATGATTCTGAAAAGTATCAACATTGCAAGACAATAAAGCAAACTCTACTAACAAGTATATATAAGTTTCTTTAATACACTTCTCCACACTAAAGCTGCTACCGTGAAAGTGCTCCATCGACTGGGAATATAAGTATTATAGCAATAATCCACTGTGGGAAATCTGCCTAACAGAGAAGAAGAAAACTGAGAAACATAGATAATATATACGCGTATGTGTGTGTTTGTGTTTGTTTGTGACGAGAATACGTAACGCCACCCCTCTCAATGATATAAGCAAACACACACAACAGTCTTCACTGTTGCACGAATGGGCAGCTCCGTCCGAGGAAGTACCCACAGAAGACCATGTTGAAGTGGAAATGTGTACTTCTACGTTTCGTCTCGTGAGGTGGCCGGGGCTCATTTTATTAAAAGGTGGTAACGTATCTACAAAATTAAAAAAATAATCTGAAAGTCGGTGCATGCAGGTTGCTCAGGATCGTACTTTATGGCAGTCTATGGGGGAGGCCTATGTTCAGCAGTGGACTCAAACATGCTGAAACGATGATGATAATGATGATTCTGAAAAGTATCAACATTGCAAGACAATAAAGCAAACTCTACTAACAAGTATATATAAGTTTCTTTAATACACTTCTCCACACTAAAGCTGCTACCGTGAAAGTGCTCCATCGACTGGGAATATAAGTATTATAGCAATAATCCACTGTGGGAAATCTGCCTAACAGAGAAGAAGAAAACTGAGAAACATAGATAATATATACGCGTATGTGTGTGTTTGTGTTTGTTTGTGACGAGAATACGTAACGCCACCCCTCTCAATGATATAAGCAAACACACACAACAGTCTTCACTGTTGCACGAATGGGCAGCTCCGTCCGAGGAAGTACCCACAGAAGACCATGTTGAAGTGGAAATGTGTACTTCTACGTTTCGTCTCGTGAGGTGGCCGGGGCTCATTTTATTAAAAGGTGGTAACGTATCTACATCCCTACGGGTGTTTCAAACGTGCATGGGCGGCGGTCATCACTTAACATCGGGTGAACCTCAAGCCCGGCCCACTCTAAGTTGGTAACGCTACGAGTGTTGCAAATTTCCATCCGCGGCGGTTTTCCCTTAACATCAGGCGAAACGCCTTCTCACATAAAAAAACACATACAAACATACACGTCCGACGCAAATGTTTACCCAACTTTTCCGGGGCAGTTCGTTGAACCGGCAACGCATGTTTTCCATCAAAAAATTAACACATAGCCCGTCGTGTCAACGATAAACCATTCGTCGGCAGGTGACGAAAGGTGCCATCGACCCCGCAATGTCCACTATTCTATAGTCATAGTTTTATTTATTTTTATAATAAATAAACGACCCTACTTCAAGGGCCCAACAGTTTCGTGAACCATGTATATAAAGGTTTTTCGTTCAAACTATAAAAATTAGAGAGTACGATGGAACAAAAATCTATCTAATCGTATTTTTTTTCTCTTTAACATACATTTACTTACATAAATACGTGAATCTATCAATGTTGTGTTTGCCTATAATTTGGATGTGCAATTAGTTTTAAGCATTTACATTATTGTATAGATGACTTAAGTAAGTTTTATTGTCACATCTGCAGGTGAGCTTAATAAATTAAAAAAAATATATATTTAGAGAAAATTTTTGAACTGATTTTAAGAATAATTATCATGTGGTCCCATATTAATTTCATCGATACCTTGAACTCTGGAAATACGATGGGGAACTCAAATAAAAATGTACTGATGTCGGTTTTCTTTTTTTTTTTTAATTAAAATGTAATCAAAAATAAATATCTAAAATGTGTTACTCGTGGGAAAAATAATTTGGTACACATATAACGACAGTTCTTGTCCAGTAAAAATTAACAACTTCATTACGTAGAGAATTAAGCAGTTGAGTCCACGCAGAACAATGATAGCCGTCCGCTCTGACAATTACGTCGGATGTGAATCGTGCATTATGCTTATATAACATCGCAAATTTGACCGTGCGCCGTGGTTGTGTGAAATAAAGTGCTTGACGTGTTTCTAATACGTGGACAGATTCGAAAAAAACTCGCGCACGGATCTACGTAACATATTGCCCGCTTGTGACGTCATAAGACGTTAAGGGATAAATGAATAAACTTTTTTTTATCTGAGAAGGTGGCGGTTGTCACCTCGGGGCTCACCTGATGTTAAGTGATAATCGCCGCACATTTGCAACACCCGTAGGGTTGCCACCCTTTAATAAAGATGTCCCGGCTACCTTACTCACTAGACGAAACTATATATATAGAAGTATAACACTTCCACTTCACAACGGTCTTCTGTGAGGTCGTGGAACTTCCTCGGAATCTACGTACGGATCTGAATATTCGTGCAACAGTGGAAACGTGCCCTACTACAGTCAAATACACTTACACATTGTCTACTTGTTAATTTAATTTAATTTGGGTCCTCACGAGATCGGCTAGTAGCGGCTACAAGACATAACTTGATTCGAAAGGCACAATCTTAATCACATTACAAAAACACACTTTCACTATTAGAAAGTCGAACCGTCCAAAATGGATAATGCGATGTTTAAAAAATCGAGATCATGAAATAGGGATCATCAGAGATCGCCCACAACAAATCGTAACAAAATAAGTGGCGTTATATTAAACATAGTTCCACCAAAACAAGTTTCGACTGCAGTCAACTTCGCCCACAATAATAACTTCTAAATGACTAAAACCACGAGTGCTGTGTGGTCGAATTGAGCATAATGAATGTAATGAGAAAGCGACACTTGCGACATTCTTCATTTAATTTCGTCCCACTACTTCAATTATCCTCAATGAAGATGTATTCCAGCAATTCGATTTACGTAACAAACATCACTACATAGTATAAAACAAAGTCGTCCCGCTTTCTGTCTGTCGTATGTATGTCGTATATTCTTTAAAACTATGCAACGGATCTTGATGCGGTTTTTTCCTAGATAGTGATTCAAGAGGAAGGTTTATATGTATTATACATTGTACCCGTACGAAGCCGGGGCAGGTCACTAGTGTTTTATAAATTTCATTAGTAAATTTAAAATCCATAACACTTTATATTTATTGTGTTAATTAACAACGGTATAAATGGATATTACGTATAATTATTAAGAATTAGATGACAAATAAACTAATGGTTGTGTTATTTGAGAAAAATTATTATTCGATTCAGTTTAAGGAATTTACATCTTATAACACAAACTGAGCCGACAAAAAATGCTTTTTAGATACAGGGGGCATATGTAGCCATAAGTAAAAACTAGCACAAATAAACATAACTAAAATAATAATAATAAAAATATGATCCCTTGTTTGTTTGTGTATTTATGTACGAATAAATGTATATTGCCTACAATGCCTACAAGCACAATGTGATAAAAATCTTTCTGTTCAAGTTGAGTTCGAAGCATCGGATAATTTCGGAATTCTCGATGACATGAACATTACCAACAGTTTCAACAAGAATAATATACTACAACACAACTTTATAACTTCATAATAACGTAGGCGTAGATGATAAGCGCAGAAGAAGCAGTTCAACCAATTCAATCTCCCTTCAACACTTTCTCAAATACTCGCATTATGGAACGAAGGATACGAAGAGACTCGCAGATTGTTCTACACTTTTAAGCGTCCGCAGAGACAAGAGTCCGCTCGGAAAAACTGCCTGACTAGACAGGGGCGGAGCTATGCGAATAATACAAAACTTTCCGGACGCCGCATTTACATTGGAGTGTCTCGCCCGTAGACGATATTGTAACGCCATTTGACGATAGCAGTTTAACAGCTGGCTTCTATATTCTATCTACAGATAGATTTGGTTGCTAGCGATAGCTTTTTTTTTAATGTGAAAAGTTGACAAGCGAGCAGGCGGTTCACCTGATGTTAAGTGAATACCGCCGCCCATGGACATCTGCTACACCTAAGGGTTGCAGATACGTTGAAAACCTTTTGAAAATTGGGCTCCGGCTACCTCACTCACCAGAAGAAACGCGAAAGTGACAAAGAAACAAAAAAGCTAAGGGGGAAAATACCTATATGTCGGCTCAAGATGTACATCATATTGCGCGAGCGTTACGATTTTGTTTTTTGAAGTCCAAATTCAATCCAAAACAAAACTTCGTGGATGTTTCTCATTTTGGAAGGTTTGAATGAAGTTTGAATTTAGTGAATTTTAATGGGTTTTTGAATTGATTTAGGAGTATTTTTTTTGAACAGTTGGTAGCACTGAGCGCGAAGGAACAATAATCACAACGTGTGGTAAGACTAGTCCGAAGACTAGTCCGCGCGGCGGCAAGGGCATTTGTAGTGGTCGGGGCCCAGTGCGGTAATAAGCGCCCTCCTAAGAGACTGTCAAAGCGTTGACGTCATAATCACTAATGACTGCACATACTACACAATCGCACCTTTAAAATATATAAAAATGATAGTGACCTATTTAAAAAATATCAATTTTTCGGAAACGTCAAAATAAAGATTTGTGCACTACTGAACAAACGCTGTGATTGGAGGGGAGCGAAAGAGACGGATGTATACATTATTTAGCTAAAGCTAAGTCGGCCCTTGTTTGCAACAAGTAGTAGGCTGAAATGTGCCCTTGTTTTAATAAAAGTCGAAAAAGGCAGTCGTTTCAGGTCCTCTCCTGACATACAGTCAAAATCGTGACACTCATAATTAGGTCCCGTTTATTCTAATCGTGCGATATTATATTCTACGCTGCTCTCACCTTGTTTAGGTTGCAGATGACCTTCCTCGCCTCCCTGCAATCGGCGGGGTTCTGCAGGTACTTGAGCCGCCTCTGAATTAGGTCGCTCACGTTGGCGGCCTCGTTCCGCCTCCACTCTTGGTAGCCGTCCAGCTCTGGAAGCTTCTGTTGGTCCGAGAGCAGCGACCTAAGGAAGGGACACACCCAGATCTAATCTCGTTAGTACGATAACATAGATATTTCGGATTTTTTGTTGAAGGGATCGGGTGGTAAGTCCCAACGACCTTTGCGACCTAGTAAGATCTATTCTAGTCTTCCCTTCGAAAATATTGACCCCGTATTATAGGATAACGTTATCCTGCATTGTAAGGACGTTTTACATATATTAGTTTCAGGTGAAAAAACACCCAGAATCGAACCTTAATGCCCCGACACCGAAGCCAATACATTGGCAACTGTGCCATGGAGTTATCAAAATGATTAACGTAGTACAAAGGATGATATCTATTTATGTTTATACTGTAAACAGATGCGGAAGATATTTCTATTTATAAAAAAATACATCGCATTTCTTTTTGTTATATGTTCAAAAACGAGCCCTGAGAAGGCGGTTCTCCTGATGTTAAGTCTAACCGCCTTCCATTGACATCTACAATACTAAGAGGTTACAGCTCTGCCAACATTAAACAGTGGACCCCGGTTACCTCATACACCATCACCAGACGAAAACGAAAGTATAATACCTCCACCTTATGGCCGTCTTATGTGAGGTCGTGGTACTGCCCCAGATGGACCTGCCCATTCGTGCATCATAAAAGTCTGTTGCTTGGCCCTACCACGGTTAAATAAGTAATAATTACAAGTCATCAACATCAAATGCCGTCACTAACAACACCCGCAGGTCACAACTACTAAGCATAACTTTCGATGGCATAGAAATTTTAATTATTCAAAGAAAATTCCACATGGTGTTTAATTTTATAACTTTGCCTTGAGTTTATCGTAAAAAGTATAGAAATATTTCTTTATTTGTGCAAAATGTTCTCAATCTCATGTTCATTATGCCCAGTCTTTCGAGGCATGCTTACAAGGTCATTTAGAATTCTGTATCAAAACCAGTTTATTATGTCGTCCTATAAATAGATGTTTTAAATCTAATGATGAGGCAAATATAAGTTTAATGATATATCAAACGCGATATAATCTATCCCAACCTTATTTAATTTTTTTTGTGTAACAAGTCAAGTAACTTACAAATATGGTATCAAAGAAATACACTGTTCAGCTCAAATATTTTAAATTTAATACTTGATACTATTTCATTCGAGGAATGATGGTTTTCTTAAGGGTAAATAATATTTTTACTAATTATTCAATTTGTCCTGAAAAAATCATTAAGCAATTCATTTAATTATCCCCAGCTAGAAGTTGAATGCATGTCGTCTAGTCGGTTTGTCGTCCAAAAATCTTTCTTATGGTCAGGAAACAAAAATAATTAGATGCCGATATGAAGCTCTTAGTGCTACAGACAGATTAGTAGATATTAATGTGCTTTGACTGAAGACACATCAAAGCTCGAGTTGAGTTTAAAAATAAAAATAAATATTTGAAGAGACGAAGACAGAATATGATGTCAGATTATGAGGTTCCAAGCCGAAGCACGAAACACGTTGGTGATTTGTAAAAGTTATAAACGAAATCTAAAGCGAAATGCTTATTCTTCCGTTCGTGAGCCCCGTTTTTCAAAAGGTTGTCAACGCATCTGTAACCCTCGGGTGTAGCAGGGGTCCATGGGCGGCGGTATCCACTCAACATCAGGTGAACCGCCTGCTCGGCAACTTTTCACATTTCAATTCACAATTTAATGAAATAGGTAGATCGATTTTCATTTTTCACAACACTAACACGTGACATTCAATCGATGAATTTATTTCTCGTGTACTGAGTGAAACTAGCGAAACAAATCATAAAATGGTCTGGGAATTTTGAGGAAAATTCTGACTGGATACAAATCGCCGTTGCTGTTCTTTTGAAGTTTTTTTTTAAGTTTTAAATTTTATTTTAATCATTGCCCGTACTGTACGACTAACCAAGTACAGTCAACGGCCATCGGAGTCACGGTCCGCACCGATTTCTCGATGGCCCGAAGGCGACATGTCATAATTAAGGCAGGCATGAGTACATACGCGGACCTACCCACTAAGGAGGGCCTCATACCCGTGGGTTCTGGCTAGCCCTCCGGTTCTGCGTCTGAATAGGACTGAAAGCGTAACATCAGTTATACAAATATAATTATTATAAACCCGACGCAAGAGGCGTCAAAGCCAAAATCCTACAAACAAAGGGGGCGTATCATCCAAACGCTCCATTTTATTAATGTTATCTCGCGGTAGATAACGCGAAGATGTGGAGTTTACAGTTATTTTTAGAGAGAACAGATTTCCGGGCATAATTTTGGAACAGATATAACTTGAATTTTGATATCGAAGAAAATATACGGGGTCTAAGATAATATAATAATTTTAAGGCTACCTTGTCGACCGAAAAGTTCTATACTTGCAAAAGTCAGTACCTTAATCTTCTATTCATATGAAACTACGTCGTATACCTTTTTAAAGGTTGATTTAAGTCCTTTTTTAAAGGGTAAAACGGGACCCTATTACTGAGTCTACCCCGCCTGACCATGATTGTTAGAGAGTTGAAATTTCCACAGATGATGTATTTCTGTTACCGCTATAACAACAAATACTAAAAGACACAATAAAAAATATTTAAGTGGAGCTTCCATACAACAGACATGATTTTTTTGCCGTTTTTGTAGATAATGAATGGTACCGAAATCTATTATCCGGATATTCGATTATACGGAATACCGCTGGTTTTATTCGATTCGGATAATCGGGATTCTATACAATAAAGAAATACAGACCTTTTCCTGTCGGCCACTTGGCTCAGGATCGTTTGCACCTGCTCCGCCTTCCTGTCGTCCAGCTCGAGCTTGCCCAGCTCATGGTTTATGTAGTACCATATCTCCTTTGTGTTGGAGTGGATCCGGCGCCGCAGGTTCTCGTACTCCTCGGAGGGCCCTTGTCCGGATTCGAACAGCGACGGGTCCAAGTCCTTAAGGTCACCGTTGAGACTGCGTCGGTGACGGAAACGTTACGATGTTCATTTGAGAATACATGCCTACATACACACACAAATTTCTCCAAGAGGGAGAAACATAGACTTAGGCCCGGTTTCTGAACATTAAGGACACTTAATGTATATATAATAAATTAGGATCATGAATGATCAATTATTCACATAGTTAAACCATCCTTTCGGCAACTCAAATGATATTTGATAAGCCATTACATAGCTGATTAGGTAATTTCTACAATTATCAGTGTTTCAGAAACCGGGCGTTAATACTTAATTTTTAGCGATAGTCTCTTAACTAAAGGCAAAACTTCAAATGTATTTTTTTGTAGATATTGCCCACATATACACATATGTAGACGTCTATTACAAGTGTTTTTCACGTCACCGTTCCAAGAAATCTCATGGTACGGTATATAAATAAAAATAATAAATTACCGACTAGGGGTCGACCGTTTTTAGGGTTCCGTACTTTAAAAGGTAGAAAAAGTAAACCTCATAAGATCTCTCTTGTTCGTCTGTCTGTCCGAGTGTGTATAAAAATCAACATTATGAGTCAATATGATGAAAAGATATGGGCAAATTTAAATTTTCGCGAAATCTTGTAAGTACCAAAATTTACCTTAATTTTCAACTTTTTATTTTTCGGAATTTTCGCTTTACTGACCATTCTAGATCAACCGGAGGTATATGTCCACCCGTTTCTTGAGAGAATCGGTGGTGATTATTTACCAATTTTATTAAGGCGGTATAATGGCTAAGTACGGAACCCTCGGCTTACGAGAACGACTCGCACTTGACCGTTTTTTTTTTTATTATAAATTACATTTATAATGAACCAAATCCTCCTAATGAGAAATTAATTGAATCAAAGTAAATGTATGCAAACTAACTATAATTCGAACATAATCTTGTTAGTGTTATTTTTATGAACAGCTACTTTTCTAACATCCAAAGTTACAATCTACACCGCATAGATCTTGTCATGGCAAAGGTCAGTAACATGCGACAGATAACTAAGTTTAAGATGCCCTTATTATTTATTAACATAACAGAGTTTATTTTTTTTTCTCTCATATTTTATTATTTCGTTAATTCTGTTGTATGATTGGATTATTTCAAAGTTATTCGGTTGTGGTGCTCATGGAGCCGGCAAAATTTAAAAGTTTAACTACAAAGCACAAATTTAAACATATTATAACAAGTCCCTCAGCTGGATCTCACCTATAAGATACTGATTACGACTTTTTAGGAATAACTAAATAAGATAAGAATGCTGGCACTAACAAACAGACTCGTGTATCATCGGGAAAACCCTGAAGAGTATACACACCGTTGTTTAATCTATAGTACCTGGAGGACCGAGCTTTGCTTAGTTTTTTTTTGTAAATCATGTATTTTGAAAATAAAAAAATAAAAAATAATTAAATGATCTGGTATAGAAAAAAAGTAAAAAAAATAAGTGTGTAAATGATCGTGATTCGAACCGCGGCCGTCTGTTTTGGGGCCGCCCCATTACCGACCGAGGTATTATAACATTTTTTTGCGGCGTAATTTACTGTCATATTCGAATGATATTTTTCATTCCCTGGAAACAGGGATAAAAGGATATTTTCTAAAAATGAAACCTAGCTAGATCGAGTTTTCGCCCGCGAACCACATATCCATCGCCACATACTAAATTTCATGAAAATCACTGGAGCCGTTTCCGAGATTCCGATTATATATACATACAAGAATTGCTCGTTTAAAGAATAACATTTGGAAGAAAAATGAACTGTACAAAGGTTAAAATAAGAAAAAACGACTACACTTATTGCCATAAGAGAAGTTAACAGAACATTAGTGACCAATGGCACCACACTAGACAAGTCTGGGCTGCGGTTGGCAATTTCTATTACAAACAAAAAATATTTCAAAACATTTCAGTTGGGTCGCGTGGTGGAATGTGCCATAATAGCTTCTGTAAAGAGGAGGCCTTTGCCCAGCCGTGCGTCATAAATAGGATGTTACTTTACTTTACGGGTGTAGAGCTATCCAACTGCATGCGTCTTTCTCTCCGATACCATTTATGTCTGTTTATTTCAAGGTATCACTGTATAGTTCACCAAAAAGAAGTACCACGAACCCACAGAAGACCGGCATAAATTGGAAGCCCGGTGCCCACTTTATGGAAAGCTTGCAACGCATTTGTAAACCTACGGCTGTTACAAATGTCACCACTTGTTATCACTCAGGTAAACCGCCTGCTCGTTTGCCCCCTTCTCACATAAACAACTATTTCCTAAGTACCTTTTAAATATTAACAAATTTAACTTATAGCCTCAATATTCAATGACCTCCCGTCGCCCACAGCTATGAATAGGGTCAACGACCGTTAGTAACGGCTACCTCAAATCGTACATTTCCGTTAAAGACCAATTTATATTACAGCTCGTGGCACCCGATTAGAAGCCTCGCAAAACTGTGTCCCGAAATCGCTAAAAGCGCTTACGACCGCGACAATGGTCAGCGATTAAAATTTATCGGACAGAGTGAGCAATAAAACCCGCAGTTAAGTGGGTCGGCAGTTAAAGGCCTTGTCAACTGAACTTCTAAGTTACGAGCAGTTCTACAAGTTTAATTACGGCGATGACGCGTGTTGATTATAGCTCGTTGTCCGGGCGCTCGCCTTTAATTCAATATACTCAAGCAACCTGAGTTCGATCCCCGGTGCCGGCACCAATGTAATGTTCATTTAATATATAAGTAGTAAATAAATAAGTTCTGACTTATCACGCGCTCAGCGGTGAAGGAAAACATCGTGAGGTAACCTGCATATTTTCGAAATGATAATAAAAAAAAATATTTCGAAGATATGTAAAGTCCGCCAATCTGCAGTGGGGTCGCGTGGTGGACTATGCCCTAATACCCTTTGTACAGAGGAGGCCCAGAGTGTCCAGCTGTGGGACATTTATAGGCTGTTACTTTACTTTTCTTTTACACTGAATTCAAGCAAAATTAAATTGGAAAAATTGAAAAGTGCCCGCTACACCAGAATATGGACTCACAGAGGTGAAGAAAATTCTTTGAGTATTATCTGGTAACACAGACACTGAAAGGCTTCCAAGGCATCAAATCGATCCCACTGATGTAACATATTTCCAGTGATAGCGGATTCCAGCTTTCATACGAAACAAAGTTCAAACGCTACGTCCCCAACATTATCGCTTACTTTTGCGTCAGACAGTACCTGTTGCACATTAACAATGTTCAACGCAATAAACGCGACATGCCAGATGATCGGCAACGGTCGTTTGAGCCGCGTGTTCTTTTTAGGGTTCCGTATCCAAAGGGTAAAACGGCACTCTATTACTAAGACTCCGCTGGCTGTCTGTCTATCCGTCTGTCTGTACTGTTTGTCACGAGGCTGTATCTCATGAACCGTGATATTTAGACAGTTGAAATTATTACACGTGGTGTATTTCAGTTGCCACTATAACTAAAATACTGAAAGACAGAATAAAAAAAATATTTAAGTGGGGCCCCCATACAACAGGCCTGATTTTATAGATAATGGTACGGACCCGTTCGTGCGCGAGTCTGGCTCGCACTTGGCCGGTTTTTTAAAATCGCGGCGATTGAATCGCGTGACGGTGATACTTATAGTACGGGCTTCCTTCGCCATCGCAACCTTATACTGAGCGCTTGTCACACGGCCTCTGCGAGATTAATAAAATGGAAATGACACGAAATGGCAAAGTGATATTAAACTTAAGATGGATACCGGCCTTGGATTTGTAAATTTGCAAGCTGCTTGAATAAATGCACGCATTATTGCTACAAAGTATTGAGTCTCAATAAACTCGCATTTACGGTTTAAAATTGTATTACTAGATGTAATTACGACATGTGCAAATGTGCAGGATGTCAGGATCGTGCTTTGTGGCAGTCAGTGAGTTTGGCATATTTCCAGCAGTGGACTAAAATAGGCTGAAACGATCATGATCACGACTAGAGGACACAACATATTTTTGTCCAAATTGATTATAAACATCGTAACGAAGACATCCGCAGTAGAACTAAGATAACCGACATAGCTCAGAGGATTAGCAAGCTGAAGTGGCGATGGGCCGGCCGTACAGCTAGTAGAACCGATAACCGTTGGGGAAGAAAGGTTCTCGAGTGGCAGCCTCGTACTGGCCATCGCAGTGTACGACGACCCCCCACTAGATGAAGTGACGACCTGTGCAAATGTGCGGGAAGTCGATGGATGCAGGGGGCTCAGGATCGTACTTCATGGCAGTCTGTGGGGGAGGCCTATGTTCAGCAGTGGACTCAAACAGGCTGTAATGATGATGATGATGATGATTGTGAGGTTTTTTTTATGTCAGAAAGTGGCAAACGAGCTGGCGTTTCACCTGATGTTAAGTGATAACCGCCTGCCCATGGACATTTGCAACACCCGTAGGGTTGCAGATGCGTTGCCACCTCTTAATAATGTGGGCCCCGGCTACCTCACTCACCAGACGAAACACTTCTACTTTACGCCGGTCTTCGGTGAGGTCGTGGTACTAACCCGGACGGACCTGCCCATTCGTGCAACAGCGAACACTGTTTCGTGGTCCTACCACCGTGTAGTATATTGTGTGTTATCTGTGGATTTCTATAGGAGACTGTAATCAAATCACAAAGTGATAGACATCGGTATGCTGATCAGTTTTATGTCGGATACCATTCCGCTTAAAACTCCATCGAAAAATTAACTTTTTGATTCCTCCCATACTATCTATACTTATCACCTCTAACAAATTCCAAACCATTTCCTAGTTATCCGCGTGAAGCCTTATTTCCGATTGAAATTTTACGTATTTAGTCACTGGACAATAAATTGTGGATATTCTAATATGTTGATCAATCTTTTCGTACTTTTTCTACAAATTTTAATGTTCAATCTTAAGTGCAGAGATTAGCACTATAAAAAATTTTAATTTCTAAGAAGCAATGGCGACACAAATTGTCGTGGTAAAACGATATTCGAAATTGTTTGTATGCTGGAAAGGGTATAACAATGGATGCGCCAAGCATTGCTTCAAATGCTAAAAAACAATGTAGATAAAAGACGTTAAGGTTTTCGTCGCTGTGGCTATCAGCCGTTTAGCTCAGTGGCTAGAGCGTCAGGCCGCGAATGCCGAAGACGTGGATTCGATTCCGACAGCGGCGACAATCTTTTCGTACTTTTTCTACAAATTTTATTATTGATCAACGTTACAAGGACCGTGGTCCGAAATAGAGAAACAAAGAACCAAAGGACAATGGATGGAAGCAAAACCGCTGCTTTTCAGCAAATAGAAACGCATTTAGACTGCATTTAGACAATCAGCCCCTCTAAGTGCTGAGACCACTTACATCAACGTCTGTACGTCTATATGCATATAGAGAATCTTCACGTGGAGCAAAACAAAGAGCCTAATTGTGGCAACGTTTCTACAGACAGCCTAAGTAGGGACGAGAAAGTAGCGTGACAACTTGGATAATACCCAAGCTTAGTAAATATGTAATTCCGACATCAAAATTCGAGCATTTTAATATTGCATGTTGAGAATAACTTGCTAAGCACGTTTAGAGGGCTCTTGGGCTTTTAAATAGATCAATTAGTTTATTTTCATCGTAGTTTATAGCAATCAGATGTCACCCTTCATAATTGCACTTTCATTAAAACTAAATCCATTATGGTTAATAGATTCAGGTATCACTAAATAGTATAAAACAAAGTCGTCCCGCTGTCTGTCTGTCTGTATGCTTAGATCTTTAAAACTACACAACGGATCTTAATGCGGTTTTTTTACTAGATAGAGTGATTCAAGAGGAAGTATTATATGTATAATACATTACAGCCATGCGAAGCCGGGGCGGATCGTTAGTTAATAATAAAGTCATAACGCAACGTGCCTGAATGACAGAAATTTAATATGAAGAGCGCTTTCACAATCTGAATACCGTTTCGCTTACAAAGAGAAGAGGCATGCCTAAATGTAAACTTTGGCCTAGTAAGTTTCGAGAACGTCTTATTTCTTGACGTTTTAAACACACTTACATTAGTTTCACCTGCATGTGTGTATGTAACGGAATCTTTTAACGTGATTTTGCAACACTTAAAAGATCAGATTCGAATCAAACTTCGCACACTCGTCAAAGACCCATGACAATGACAAAATAATTTAAATAGTTTTCCCCCATCCCGGTCATGACCTTCACGGTTAGCTTTTTTCCAAATCGGATGCCCGGTAGTTTTCTTGGCAAATGTAAATAACTTTAACTCTGGCGTAATTCAATTAAAATAAATTTTAAACGATAGAGAAAAATCTCTAATGAATGAATCAACAAGCAGAATTCGGCGGTCGCTTATAGTTTTCGAGAAAAAAATATTTAAAGCTTGTTATTTTTACTAAGAAATCCACCATTTTATTTATTTGACTTCAAAAACTCAATACACAGTTCTGCCAACATGATAAATATAGGAAGCGAGCGACATCATACTCGTATCGATTGTCCGATTTTTTTTTTATTTAATGAGTCACAGAACCGACACAGAACGAATCCGACTCGGATAGATCAGGTTAGAAGGTTCAGGCGCTTTAACCTTCGAGGTTAGGTTTTTTTTTTACCACCAACAAATACGAGCAGAATTGACATATTGACAACAAAAAAATGGCGGATTTCTATAGTAAAAATTACACTATTTTTCATTATTTATTTTTTAGAGAACTATAAGCGACCGCCGAATTCTGCTTGTTAATAAATTCATTAGTGATTTTTCTCTATCGTTTAAAATTTGTTTTAATTGAATTACGCCAGAGTTAAAGTCATTTACATTTACCGTTTTCTTGTGCCAAGTACGCATACGCATTTAAAAAAATACTTAAAACACGGTCTTATACTGAGTAGAACTGAAAAATAGAAAATTAATAATAAAAAAAATATTACAGAAAAGCGTGGGGTGATTTTTAAGATATTTTCATTATGACTCGACTTTTATACTGATACAATAAATACAGTATAGGCACTGACCTATACTGTATTTATTGTAGACAGTATTCATTAAAATGTTATTTTTATATAACAATTGACTCCAAGCACCCCTACGCTTTACGACAATATTTTTTTTTGTTTTTCACACTATTAATAATTTAAATTTATTAAATATTATTTTCTACTTTAGTTTCGTTATCTACAAAAGCGTGTTTTTACTTTTTTTTTAACTATTATTTATTTTTTGCTTATTATCTTTTTTTTCTATAAAGCCCTGATCAGAAGTCCAAGTACAAAGTTTAACTACTGGTCTGGCTCTGTCTCAGAGTTGAGTTTTGATCTTCCATCTAGATTCTAACTTTTGTATATGTGTGACTATTTGACTACTTCACATGTAAATTTATTAGCTACATTTTCATTTTAGCTTCTCTTTTCTGTGTCTCACTCATGTTGTGTATTTTTGGGGAAAGAAAAAAAAGTAAAGTAACAGTCTATAAATATGTCCCACAGCTGAGCGAAAGCCTCCTCTGTACAGATGATATTAAGGTCCACCACACACACATCGGGGATTTAAAGCCTTCACATATCTTCGAAACTTTTTTATTATGAATATTTCGAAAATATGCTGGTTTCCTAAGTAAAATATTATTATTAATATTATTCTAGCGCTATAATAACAAAGAGCAAGGCATAATGCGCCGTTATTTCGTGTGGGCTACACAATATACACGCGTCGACGCAAGTTGCGTAAGTCTGTAAACAACGCTGCCTCATTATTTGTACCGTGAATCAGAACAACGCACGAGTTTACAACGAACCATTTTACGTCGCTGCCACAACTCCCATGTTTTGAAACAATGACAGTGTCAGCGACAGATAAACGGGATAGCATCAACATATCAGTCAACACGCTTCAAAATTATGGTTTACCTAATTAATGGAATTTATATACTTTGTCAAATTTAGGATGATAAATATAATTTTGACACCTCACAATAGGGGTGAAGTACCGTAATTTCATAGAACTTAGTATCGATAGTATCCTATTTATGCTGTATAATAATAAAACTAAATTTGTTTCTATTAAATTAATAATGTGTTAATAAGACTACGAAATCCATCCCACAACGAATATTTCGACTCTATACTCTTCGCTTATATTTCAAAACCGATTTTCGATAATATATGCTTGTTCTTTATGCGTGGCCTTATCTGTAGTAATTACATTTACGGCAAAAAAAATACGATACTTGATTTGTCAGATCTGTCATAATTATCATCCTAAATTTGACTGCAACTTATTCAGTCTCTTATGATACTTGTTAAACGAATCTATATTATCTGCGACTATTTTACATACACATTACTGTTTCTTACGTTGCAAAGACAAAGTTGCGACCGCACTTAACCTAAATAAACAACTTTTACTCACCCCGAGGATCTTCTGATTTGAGCGATGAGGTTGTTGTGCTTCTGCTTTAGAGCCTCCAGCTGAGATGTGAAGCTCTTCAGACGCTCTTGGTACTCCAAGATCTCGTCGGTACTCCCGTTGCATCTAAACATTACATTTGAATATGAAATAAAGAAAGAAAGAAAGAAAGAAACATTTATTTGGCACATAATAACACAAAAAAAATAAAACATATGCTAAAAACTAAATACCTATGATTAGAATGAACCAAAATGGTCACCACTCAGCTTCATATCACGACTTTGACAATCTTCGTGAATGCTGGTTTTCAGTGGAACCTTGGGGGAAAGAGATAGATGGCCCTACGTAATAGTCGTAAAGAATGAATATTGGATACAATAAATTAAAATATATATATATATATATGCACAAACTATTAGGACAGTAACGACGTACAACGACGACGCTGTTGCCGAATGGGCAGGTTCATCCGGGTAAGTACCAAGACCGTTCGTCATTTTGACGTTCGTCTGCAGTGAGGTATCCTGGGCCCACTTTATTATAAGGTGACAACGCATCTGCAACCCTACGGGTGTTGCAAATGTCCATGGACGGCGATCATCACATTCTCACATAAATAAAACCTTATATAATAGACTGAAGCGAATTCCTTAAGCATAGGATCAGGATGAATGTTATACTTTGGCATTGTACCTCGTTTAGCAATACAAGATTCAACAGATTGAAAGTCGACCAATGTTATTAAGCAAAGCTTAAACAAAGACAGACTCCCCTCGCTAGTCAGGATGTAGTTTGATATCTGGCTAGATGAGTTAGTAAGGACTTGATTGAACGCATCAATGAGTTTTTAGCAATTGTTTATATTGCGCTCTTATAATTTAAAATTCGTAGAAAAATGGACGAAAAGCTTTTCGCCAATGCGAGGATTTGTACCTATATCCTCGAGGCTATGCAACCAATGCTCCATATTAGGAAGATGACGTAAGCGGGAACTACTTACCATGAAAGGTTTTATTAACTACAGGCACGTACTACAGGGCGGTAGTAAGATTTCATTTTGTGATATGAGCAACGGTGTCAATCTAGAACCACTTTATGTTCGCGGCCAATTACTGTCCTTTTCACCGAGCCATTTTTGGAAACACAATGAAATGACTATAATTACACTGTACCATAACGATGCGCCTATAGTGAGCTCGTAATTTCCCCGCAATTGCCGGATACGGTCAGCGGCGCAGGAAATGCCACAAACGCAGAGACTTACGCAAACGTGGGAAAACTTCAAAGACCCTAAGGGAAACGGCGATTGATGGAGGAACAACACTGCAGAACAATAGAATAGAAGAAAACTTCAAAGGCCTTAAGCGACACGGCGATGGATGGAGAATTAACAGTGGAGAACGATAGAACAGAAGAAAACTACAAGGTCTTAAGCGAAACGGCGCTAGATGGAGGAACAACACAAGATAAAATTTTGCTTTACAAGGAAGGAAAACAACAGTATAGAACAAGAGGACAGAAGAAAACTCCAAAGACCTTAAGGGAATTTCACCTGCGGTCATGGCCTGGTGGTCGTGGCAAGGCCATGCAAGTGTACGCTGTAGCACGGATGGGCGGCATCGTCCGGGGTAGTACCACGACCACACAGAAGTGTCTATATCGGTGTATCTCTGCCTGCCTCGATATACGATTTATACTATATACATCGTATAGAAACTATGATAAACTATGATATAAATATACATCGTATAGCTTTGAATATATTGTATAAAGTTTATGTCGATACGGTTTCTTCTATAGCCATTCATATTTAGCACGGAAATATTAAATTTGCATTTGAACGGCCGGTGTATGGGAATAGGCCTGTGACCCACTTGAGGCGATTGGAGAGCTTGAAAACATTGAATGGAACTTATTACAATTTGTATTGTGTACAGATTTAATTTTTCAACATACTAAGGCAAACTAGAATCATGCATACCCCAATGAGTCAGGAACATGCCAATGCCCGTAATCTACAGTGAGGAATAAAGACCTACAATAAACTATTATCGCAAGAGAACGGGGCGTTAAATATAACGTCAAGCTAAAACAATAAATCGATATGTTCCATTTATCGCACCGAGTCGAACGCGTGTAAGTTTAGATAAAAACACATGTTACTTTTTGCGAATAGAAAGGAATTGTGCAGTGTCTGTTTTTCTCATATCCCATTATTAATATTCAATTCAAATACGCGATAGTAGTCTCTGATTGTTTTTTAAGTAAATTAAAAACACAACTACTACATGCCAATCATTGGGGCTAACTTGGTCAGTCACGGAGATTTCTTGATATTGACAATAACGATTACGGTCTACGTAAAGTGGATTTCTCTGTTCTGTTTTGTTGTTCTCCATTATTGTTTCAAATCAATCGCCGTGCCCCATTTTTATGTCAGAAAGTGGCAAACGAGCTGGCGGTTCACCTGATGTTAAGTCATAATCGCCGCCCATGGACATTTGCATCACTCGTAGGGTGGCCGATGGGTTGCCACCTTTAAATAAAGTGGACCCCGGCTACCTCACTCACCAGACGAAACGCAGAAGTGTAACACTTCTACTTCACGCAGGTCTTCTGTGTGGTCGTGGTACCCCGGACGGAGCTGCCCATTAGTGCAACAGCAAATACTGTAGCGTTCTATTACAATTGTTACTTTTTCGAATTATTAAACTTCAATCTGTTATATTATTATTACCATTAATTTCAAAACGATTATTTTACTACGTCTGGCTATTGTTTCATTTTATGGCAGTGTCTTAACGCTATTCAATAGACTGTTAACAGACCTTTGCGTGTTTATTAGTTACGGCGTCTGTCTACTTATAGTAAGATTTCTATAAGCTTTTTTATTTATTCTCAATTCTTATTAGTTTTATAAAGTTAAAAAAAAACGCAATAAGCATTTGAAAACGTGCATTAGAATATTTATAATTTAATTATTTATAGATCGTTTTTGTTTACTTAAATAGTGGCCAGTGCTTAACCGTTATCTAGTCTTAGATGGTAAACGCACTAGCAAAGTAACCTACTCACTCCAACCTATTCACACTTGCCTTCAGATATTCTTGCAAGCCCCTCCGTGAATCCAGAGAATCTAGATATTTTGAAGCACCAGCCAAAATATGGCAGCAGCCTTTGCTTTATATTAGGATGAAAGCTGTCCCGGTGTGAATACCGCCCCACCGTTGTTACGACACTCAACTTCCATGCTTCTTCTTCGACCCTTCAACTTCCATGCTTCTTCTTCGACCCTGGACTCAATGAACCGAAACGAGATTTGGAGGTGAATAAAGGTATATTCTGAATCAGATTTGAAATTTTACCTAAGGTACCTCGCATGACAATGCACGAAAGTTATAAAAAAAACTCGAGAATTCAAAAGGTCATCGTGTGACGAAACACCATTTCCAATCGGTATTCAAAGAGCGAAGCAATTTAAGGAATATTTCACAAACCGCATTACTGCACAGGCAATGTTTTGAATTATTAAAAGACCGACCGACCGACCACGGACTTTTAAAATGCCATCATAGTTAAATCTCTCCCCCATTAACTTACATTACAACATGGACATTTTCTTTATTATTGTCATAATAATGTTTATAAATCCAAACATTGAATGCGTGAGTTTTCGTGCATCAAAAATTGCCAGAGTAGAAAGTGATTCACCCAATGTCAAAAAGGCACCGGAGGTTTCGATGTCAATGCATAATAAGCTATGGACTCCGGTTACATCACTCCCCGTAAAAGCCAAACAGGTGTTTATTGCTGTTTTTTATGTTTTTATTCTTTCCTAGTGACAACTAAAATTACAACAAACAAGTTTAGAGAGCAAGTATAATTGATTATATGATGTTAAATATTAATTCGAATTCGCAATATAGCGCGTCTAGAGATAGAGTGCCTTTAGTTTTAATAGATAGACATACAAACAGCGGAATCTTAGTAATAGGTTTCCGTATTACCATTTCGGTACGGAATGAGGGGCATATAATAAAGATAGATATTTCGACCGAAACCAGTCCTCAGAGTAAAGGCGCCGGAAAACATTTTGAGCAAAAAGGTACATAGCGGAGAAAACTTCGCGCATGTCAACTTTAAAGCAACCGTTTGCCGTACCATACGCGTGTGTACCAGATCTAAAAATCGACTACTGAGTAAATGAATGCATTTTTCAAGTTGTTCCACCGGTCAATGTAACTAACCGTAACTTTTTTAAAAATGGAACCTTACCTTAGAGGCGATATGACCAGGTACGTGACGACTATCCAGACGAACAGCAGTAAGATGGCCGCCCGCTTCCATTTCGCCAGGTACATCATAAGGTAGTCATTGACAGACGCTCGGCCGTTCGGATAGTGCCTCATGATAGTCGACACATGGCAACCGCCCGCGCTCCCCCCTTCCTGCAAACAGATCGAGTCTACATCAGGGGTGGCAAACTTTTCCCTAATATCTATTTATCTTAAGGCTAGCTGTTGTCCCATGCGATTGCATCCGCAAGAAGCGTTTCTGCATCGCCTCCGTAGGTCGTAGCGTGATGTTAAATACCTTTTAATATATACATACATATACATAATACCTATAACCTTCCTCAAGAATTGAGCTATCAAATACAAAAAGATTTTTTCAAATCCGACAGGTTGTTCCAATGATTAGCGTGTTTATTTATTAACAAACAAACAAGCTCTTAATAAGCTTTATTATATTACGTATAGATAGCTCCGTCGGCTAGAACGGGTACCAACAGGGATCTATTTGATTCCAGGGTGTTCTTGGACGGACCTGCCCATTCTTCAGTCTTCAATTTCTTCACGACCTTACAGAATACTGACGTGAAGGAGAAGTGTATACGTCTGCGTTTCGTTTGGTGAGTGAGGTAGCTGGAACCCACTTTATTAAAAGGTGGCAACGCATATACAACCCTACGGGTATTAAAAATGTCAATGAACCCATTGAAACTTATTACGAAACGGTGGTAGATTAAAAAAAATATGACTATCGATAGATGAAATGTAAGTTTCTTATGTCGATGAATAAATGATTTTTGATTTTTTTTAATGAGCGTCTGAGCACTGTCATCATTTAACCTCAGGTGAACCGCCAGCTCGCTTGCCACCTTCTCACATAAAAAGGAAACGGCAAAATTATCTGAATAATCGAGAGCGAATTTTCGTTTACCATCAACAACCAACATTTTACGTTTTTCGATTTTTTACGTAAAAGAATCAGTCTCAAAATTATGACATCTCATCGTCTGACACGTTTCGGGACTTCACAAGCTTGGTGAAACGTGGAGAACTAACTATACTACGTCATTAGTATTTAAATCGAGATAAAGTCACGACTTTTAAAAGACTTTTTAACATATCTTTCAACAATTAAAATAATTGCCATACAATTAAATACAAACATTTTGCATGGAACCAATTATTTTTCAGCTCGTTGCGCAATTGCAATTTAGGCCGAGTTTCGAAAGCCAAGATTGCTTCTCATATCCTTACACCGTAATAGAATTGGTAAACGTGAACCGGAAGTTTTGTTTAAGCTTCACCAGATTAATTGCACATGGTGATAAATAATAATTATACTATATCAATAGAGTAATACAAAATGCACTTAACAGGTTTACATTTAAAATTATAGATAACATAACCAATTGCTATCTTAAGTATGTTTTACACCACGAATATATTAACGATAAAGGAATATAATTCAGTTAATAACACCGAAGCATATAGAGTAAATGTTATGCTAGGCGCGAAATGCACAAAATATACAATCTTGTTTTACTTTCCGTCAGTAAAAAAAAAGATTATATATGTTCCAAGCTATGTACATCCTCATACATAAAAAATCGCACATAGACTGCAGAGATACCCAAAGACAACAGTGGAAACCTTGCCAACTGACACTGCGCATCACATAGAAGATTCAATCCCTGAATGGGATAAAAGTTTGTGTTTCATAAATAACTGTTCAGTTGGACTCCACATCCTCTTTGATTGTCAATTTGGACAGAGGAATTATTTACCAGCATGGGAGGAGAATAATGCATGAATAATGACTTTTAAAGCATAAAAGAAGTAAGGACTATATTTAAAATCACAAACATCATTTTTATATTGTTAAGGATGCAAATCTCGTAACTCATGAGTAGAAGTAACCACAATTAGAGGAATTCATAATGGGTTAATTGCAAAGAAATTTTATCATATTAATTAACATATTTTCCTTGGCTTTTATATTTAAAATCTACAAGACATTATTGTTAGAAGAGGAATTTTAAAGAACATTTCTAAAGTAGTTATTCTAGTAGAAAGCAAATAAAAAATAAAAAATCTGTTTTATATGCAAGAGTTCATCTATTATCAACGAACTCTTTTGCAAATCAGACAGATTTTAAAGTTTTACAGATATTTGCATGAAGATACAGGCATGTTTAATTAAATTCCTGGAAATATTATGATAGGTATGTAATCTGGATTTGTAATCCAACTACGATTAAGAAATTAATAAAAAGGTGATATTACTTCTCATTTAGTAGTATTGGCTCTTATATGCATTATATAACAACAAAATTACATATAATCTTTATTTATTAAAAATAGTTTCATTCATTATTTAAAAATCAAATAATAGAAGTATAACAGTGTGATAAAAAATAATTAGTAATCAAATTATTAATACTAAAAACAAAAGAACAATGTTGAACTTTCTTTGCATGAACTTGGTCTTAATTTAAAGTTTGTACTGTTCCAAATATGTGCAATTTCTGTTTAAGAAGTTTATTTTAAAAAAAATACGTATTTTATGTGACAATTCCAAATATATTATTTCACTCAAACCTTAATCCCAGCTTTGTAATTAAAATCCATAATACTGTAAAACTGACAATAATAACTGACAGTGAAGTACCTAGTCAATTAACTAGCATTTAGAATTTAGATAAAAATTAATATAGTATTTCATTAAAATTCCCAGTTAAGTTTACAAATGATCAATGTTTTATAAATAACATATTTTTGACATTTCTTAACAATGTTTATCATATATCCAAGAGACATTGTTGAATTTAATTACACAATGTTTTTTATATAATTGACATTATAAAGATTGTATACAGTTGATATAAAAATTATGTCTTGTTAATCTCATATTTTTTATAGTATTTCTGACTTATTAATATATTCATAAATATTTTTTTAAACGATGAATTTTATGATTATATACTAAATATTAAAATTAATTTATTTATTATGTGATTTAGAATACAATTTATTATTTCTAAATAATATATTTTAAAAATAAATTAATATAATTATAATTTTATATTGACATGGGATGTATTGACCGCAAGTCCCAGTGGACAAGTACTAAATAAATTAGAAACATACTACTCGTTTGCTATCCAGTCCGGATACCGACAATTTAGATCAAATCTTTAATAGAATAAAACACAATTTAAACTAATCACACAACAATCGTTACGACATTTCAAAACATATTTTTAAATGTTATTAGATTAAAAGCATTTTGAATATTGGTGTGATGAAATTATAAAAATATTACAATACAGAAAGAAAGCTATACACAACTGACCTTTTAAAATAAACAGTAGAGATATTTCCTCTATGAATTTCACAAAACTTGTAAAATCAACTTGTATAGTCAACACCCGAAAAAGTTAAATATATGTGTATAAAAAAAATATTAAAATTGAATCCACAAAAAAAACAATGCACACCCAGATCTAGCGCATCACCGACTGCCACCACAGACAACAACAAAATAAACTGGTTAAATTTTCTCTATGGTTCATACTCTAGAGTAGAGCATGGCCATAAACTAAAAAAGAACCAGAAGCCGCGAACCGCGTTTTTCGACCAGCTATTTAGACTTTACTAATATTTAACTCAAAAAGAAAAAGGACGAAATCTCATTTCACATATAAACAAAACATTGAGATTTGATGTTATTTAATTAATGCATTCATTTTTCAATTTGCATTTGTCATAGTAACCAATGTGTTATCATAGTTGTCAATTTAGATTTTCCCTACATTTGATCACCTATACCCTCTCTACACCAACGACATAGAGGAGCCCGACTTGGATTGGGACGAGAGCGTACTGATGGCGTTTTACGCGCATAACAGCGCGTTCTCACTACTCACATAACATAGCGCACGTACTCTTGTGGCTTCGCAGACAGATGCGGATAATGGACCAACCCACATTTTAACAATTTGGCCTTGTTACGTGCTCACCCACTGGACTATTGCCTACTTCCACGAGTTCTGCTGGGGACTCGGGCTCAGAGCGAGCCCACGTTGCAGGTAGGTTCGTGTCCCCCCATCTCACTTTCACCTTAACGATCCTAACTGGCTTAGCTAAGTCCCTCACATATCCCTTATCCTAGTCCCCGTAGGTAGAATCCTCTCCGTCCCTCCCTTCATAGATTAGTTTTATCATACTAATTTTTCCGCTTGATTTACGTCCCAGCCGCAGTGCGGTATTCGACCACCGACTACCGCACCGGCTAGCCGGTGGTCGCCAGCCCAATAAATGGGGATGACCCTTGAGGATCACAACGTGTCGGGTCACCAACCCGAACTCCATCATGGTGGAAGTCAATCCTTTCTCACCACAACAGCCCTCGAGTGAAGATGTGTGCAACTCCGATGCGATGTAATTGGTGAAGAATGAGATTGGAAGATTATTAAAGATAGAAATACAAGAAGATGAAGATAGAAGATTAACGTCGTGTGTTATAAAACTACTCTTCTCAGAGCATCTACTGTGAGTCCATAAAAAGGCTACATTGATAACAAGAGGGTATTAGGGCATAGTCCTCCCCGAGACCCCACTGCAGATTGGCCAAAAAGTAATGTCATGTATAGGATTGGCAGACTTCCAATATCTTCGAGATATTTCTTATTTGTTATTATTTCGAAAATATGCAGGTTTCCTTCACGATGTTTTCGTTCACCGCCAAGCACGAGATAAGTCCGCACTTAAAATTAACAATTTCATTGGTGGCGACACCGGTGATTGAACTCAGGTTGCTCGAGTCTATGGAAATAAAAGCGAGCGCTCGGACAGTGACAAGAGCAATCATATCCGCCATCCTCTCATAAATTATTTTAAAAATCTATGGTAAAAATATTATTAGTATGGAAACGACACTGACTATTGTCGCCATTTACTAATCAGGATGAAAAAATTTGAATGACGACTGGACGCCTATTAGCCTACTTTTTAATGTAATCACAAATGAACATAATCTTTTATTAAAATCATAGCCAGGGAGGCTATGTCTGTGATGTTAATAAAAAATTATAGCCTATCTAATTGGTCAATGGTTCGTTATTATCGGGGAATACCAGGAATTTAACTTAGTTTTCGATTAGGGATATCGGCAGGAAAAAAAATCGATATATCAATATTCATAAAAATATCAATATTGACTTCCATATATCGAGGAAAAAAATATCGATCCTAGTAACGTTTATCAATAAAATTTATCAATACTAGAAACGTTTATCAATAAAAAAATACTGTGCCAGATTAAATTTTGTAAAAAGTATCGTTTTTGATACGATTTTCGATATTGAATAATTTGTATTTTTCAACAAGCCTACTTTAAAGTATTAGGTAGGATGCAATGAAGTGATATATTGATTTATATAAGTACTAGCTTATCACTCGCGTTGAAGCACCTAAAAATATCTTTCCTTTAAAAAAAATTGAATTAACAATAGCCTATGTCCTTTCTCAGGCATCTATATATTAAATTTCAATTAAATCTAAATGACTACCGCAATTGTCTTTATTATATTGACAATAGTTCGGGAAAATTCCAGTTATTTTTAACACGTTTGGTATAAACATATCCTGAACATGTAAAAAGTATTTTGAAAGGACATTTTTTTTTGTATTATGAAGATGGGAAAATAAGTTGAGCAATAATGAAAAATGTAGCAAGGTTTACGCCAGTACTAGCATAGCAGCTACATCAGCTACCATTGATGACGTTGACGGCTAAAATCTTGTTGGTCCCTTATTATTGTTGGCAGACTAAGCAGAATCTAAATAAATTTTGGTAATTTTATGTAACGTAAGGTCCCGGAGACGCTTCAATCTTTCGAAGATTTCCCCCCGGTACCAAAAAAGGATTATTTAATTTCAGGTTACAGATAATGAAATCAGGCAACCTATTACGGTAAAAATGGTGAAATCAGGCCTTACACTATTGACAGCACTGAGTAGAATAAATTTGTAAATAACCTTTCTAACTTAGAGCGTTTAACTCCTTTTCGAGGTCCAAAAAAGTTTGGCCATTTACGCATCAGTATTTTGACAGACCAAAAAGAGTGAAGGCTGCAGGCCTGCAACACCATTCACAATTCTGCATAGAGCGGCGAACTCAGGCGAACTGCACGGCAGACTGCCCACCAGGATTGTGAATGGGCCCTTTAAAGAAAAGCAAAATGTCAATTAATGAATTTAATTAATGAAATTTTGCTTAATATTGTGTTGTTTTGTTAATTATTTAAAAAAATTGTAATGATGCTTCATTACAAATGTTCATTCTTCATTATTAAAACTAAGTAATATTTTATTTTATTTAACGTTAAACTCAATTAAACAATATCTTTGAATACAATACAGGCTTTTGAAAATTGCATTTAGGGTTATTTTGGGTTACACCTTGATGATAGGGACATTTTAGGACATTAATAGTTGGCAACACTGTCTGTAGCCTGTAAGCCGTTACTTTTAATAGAAAAAGTAGGGATGTTGAAAGTAAAAGAAATATATCGATATTTATAAAAATATCATTAGTGGCCTCGTTATATCGAAGAGAAAATATCGATATATATCGATATAAATGGATATAAGTCCGAGAAACTCCTTTGTCTAAAAAAAGGTAGATACGTTAAGTATAAATATTTGACACTTACGAACTCTGCGCCAGATACGAATTTTAAAATTATAGTGTTTTTGATTCGATATTGAATATTTTGTATTGATGAATCGGCTATAAATATCGATAAATATAATCAAACTATCGTATCGATATGTAGTTATTGTTTCGTTGATCGTTCGACATAAAATCATACATTCCAACTTTCCAAGAATTAATTTAATTAAACCGGGGTAAAACGGCAAAACTAAACCTCAGTTAGCTGATAAATTAATAGAAAATATTATAATCTGAACTATCTTGTCCCTACTCGTGATAATTTAAAAGCATGCCTAAAAAGCCTCCAAAAAATCCTTTTTATTTCTTTATGCTTGATTTTAAAGAAGAACAAAGAAAAAAAGGCGTTCATTATGATAATCTGGTAGAAACTGCTAAAGCCGCGGATCCTGTTTGGAGGGTAAATTTCAAAAATATGTTATTTGAAACTTTTACAACAATGAAGTAAAATATTCATGGTTCACAATTATGCTAGTTAATTTATGTATATCAATAAGGTAATATAAATTAAATATATACATTATCCTTTATTGAAAGATTAAATGACTCTTATAGACTTAAGGTTTCATAAGGTTTACATTATTGAAGTTCCCGCTATAAAAATATTTACTTTTTGATAAACTGTTAATTACAATTATTTTTGCTTAATGTTATTGTAAAGCCTCTGAGCCTCGAAAAGTAGAAAAAAAATTAGTGGAAATAAATAAATGGCAAAAACATCCTTTTTTTATTTCGATTCCATATGTATATAATATATATATAAAGTACATTGATTACTTTACTTCTGATGTAAGTTATATTATTTTGAAAAATATTTTATTTAGGATGCACCACCTTCTGTCAGAAAGAGGTTCGAAGAAATGGCAAAAAAAGCAAAACAGAAATATAATTTGGCTGATATGAAATACACTTCTACAGGTATAACAATGTCTCACTTATTATTGCATTTGGAAGTAATTTATAAAGCAGTGAAGCAGGGAAAATAATAATATTTGTTTCCTACAGGTGTGCCTCTTGTTGAAATTGAAAAACGTGAAAGAGAAATACAGGAAGCCCAAGAGATGGAGCTAGAAGATATTAAGAATCTAGTAACACTGAACTGCGTCAAAGGAAGTGAGTATTTCTACAATCAATTTTAGTGGCAAATGATCGACATCCAGGGACTTAAGGACACAGGACTTCTTTTTTAACAAACTGAGCTAATGCAACAGAAAACTATGTATCATATAATTATGATTAAGGTACAGAAAATAGTCTTTTACATAATATGTGGTAGTCTTGATCCATAATCTTAACATTCAAGGTGGCGCTACTAACGAGACCGCAAATTAACACACATTTAGAGGATAAGTGTTTTAAAATTGTAATTAACATTTACTTTCTTTAAACACATCAATAATTATTAAATTTTCACCCGTACGTATAAGACAATTTTTTACGTTTTACATACATAAATTTCACGTGGACAAATACCCAGTGGGTGACACAAATAGTTGTCCCATGTGGGAATCGAACCCACGACCCCCAACACCTAAGCCAATACCTTGGCGATTGCTCCACAGCGTCATAAAAGAAGACTGTAACATAAAGTTCAATTTTAAAGGTTTTGTGACTGTTAAAAATGAACTTCATGTTACAATGATTTGCTTATGAATTGGTTGCTTTTTGACATTTATATTGTTTATGATTACTGGCAAGTATTGTTAGAAGTGTGTTCATTTATTGTTGCAGTTGAAATTCCATGCTGTATATTTTCTTAGTATATATTTTCATAAATATTGTATTATTTAAATTAAAGGCTTTCACTTCCATTCGCAGATATATTAACAGAGGACTTCTATGTCATGGATGTTAATTTTTACTGCAAGGCTGGCACGCACTATGTTATTGGGGAAAGCACAGTTTTGAGATTTAATCTAAGGGATGGCATTATAGATAACTATCATGAAATAATAAATCCCGGTAAGTGGCCCGCCCTCACACTTTACTAAATTTTGTTTTATCAATATTTATTTCACATAGATTTCACACAGAGCCATGATAGCTCAGTGTCTGGGCGCTCACCTTTAATTCAATATACTCGGGCAAACTGAGTTTGATCCCCGGTGCCGGCACCAATGAAATTGTTAATTTCAAGTGCTGAATTATTACGTGCTCAGCGGTGAAGGAAAACATCGTGAGGAAACCTGCATATTTTCGAAATAATAATAATAATGAAAATTTACTTAGAAAATAAGCTACAGAAGTATACATAAAAACCTAGGATTATACAAACATTAGTGAACACTATTTTACAACTCCGTTTTCAGGAGGGTTTTTAAAATTTATTATTTAAAAGTATATTGTAACAATGATGAGTATGAAAAATAATGTTGTATCAAACAGTTTGCTTTTTTAATTCTGGCACCTGGTCCCAAATTTATACTAGTCCAGTGATGAAGCATCAAGTACCAAATACCATTGCAGACAAATTCAAATCAACTTTTTTAATTTAAAATTTAAATATCCAATATCCAAGTGTGAACAAACGAATGAACGAACGTTCGTTGCGCACTATCAACAACTGGCTCATAATTTTAGATCTAAAAACATAAGCTAATAAAACTTATATTAAATAGGTATATATGTGTATACAATATATATATATATATATATATATATATATATATATATATATAATAAAACTATATAAATTGTTTGGTAGTAAAGTAAGCAGTTTTAAGTATGGTCGCTTAGTTTACTTTCCTAAATTTTCACCCAATTGTTTTGCATTAATGTCTGGGGGGTCTGTCTAGGGGATGTGTAACTTGTAATTGTAATTGCCTGAACAATATGGAATAAATTATGAGGATTGTAATAAAAAAACTGTTCTATTTCATTAAAATAATTATAATTAAAACAATTATAATTATAATTAACAATTATAGTGACTTGTCCCAAAAATGGTTGATGACCAGAAGGTTTCTTAATATGGTGGTGATGAGTTAATTGTGGTTTCTAGTTTTAAAAGGACAGAGTCAAAAAATCTAGGCCTTTACTTGTGATACTGCGCTAGTCGAACCTTGTTGTATTAACATGAAATGGATATTTATAATTAGCATATGACTTACAATTTTCCAGGTTCCATACCAACTGGTTACGCTCACGATGTGAAACTGGGGAGCAGCGAATTGGGCTTGACAATGCCTGACGAAAGTTTGCCCCGCAGCAACTACATGCAGATACTGGCAAATATTGTTGACTATCTCAAGCAGCAGAACAGCAATTCCAATATCCTACCGCCTATTTTCACCATTCCAGAAAAAGTGCAGCCAATACAAGACTTCATTCTGCAAATGTGCAGTAAAGCCGGTGTGTTATCAATTTATTCTTATCTAGAGGACAAGTTGGTCCGCTTCTCTCTTACAAGTAAATTAGCAAGTATTCCTTATTACATAAATTATTAAAACAACATATTCAAATTGAATGTAGTGCTCAGTTGTTATTGAAATGCAAATATAGTAATATGCATTGGTCTCTTGTAGTTCATGTTATGTATTTTGTAACCGTGCCAAATAAATAAATAAATTAGTAAAAGTCTTTACATTGTCAAAGTTTTATTCTTTTGACTATTTATTTTACACATGTGTAGTTGAACTTAACCCCTTGATGCATACCTTAATACATTGATTTTCATTTGAGTATCTTATAATTCTGTTAAGTAAAGAAATAAGTGAGTGATAAGGAATAAATTGAGTTTGTTAGAAAATTGGATATTTCATAATAATGACATTAAATAATGAGTGAATATAAAATAGTTTATTATTTTGATATAAATCACTAAGGCCACTTTCCAAGCCAGAAAGAATTTTATTCAATATTTTACCAGTAAAATAATAATTTTATAACAACAAACTATATTAAATTTTTCTCTTCAGCCGAAGACGAAACTCTATTTCGCGTGTACAAGTTAGACACGCTATTCTACAATCTAATAAATGCAATCAAGACATGTGGAAATGAGGGCTTCCCAAAGGAGTCCCTTGCTTTGGTGCAACTCAAGAAGGATCTCTTTAAATACAACCCAGGCTTAGGTTGCGAAGTAAGAACAATTTTATTGAGTAACATTCACTTATTTATCGATGCAGAATCAAAACACAAATTGAGTTGCAACTAATTTGAAGAAAACAGTTTTATTTATTTTCAACTTTGAATGGTCTTACGTCCATGCGAGTTAGTAAACGACAAATACGATTTAACTTTAAAGATCAAAAGTTCATAATAAAACTCCATTGTGTTAAAAAAAACTTTACTTATTATCAATGTCTCTATGCAACGCCTTTAATTAAACCCAGTTAATAATGCCAAAATGAAGCCCGCACATCTGTTATAACTTATTACTTTTTGGATTTATTTTTCAGCACCACGAGGAAGAAGACAAATCCGTGGAATGTACTCTGTCGCGGACAAAGCGCTGGGTCTTCACCATACTAGACAGCTGTTGCCCCATAGCTGGGATTGATGTGGTGCCTGGTCGCCACCTGCCGTTCGACTATGATATGGATGTGAGTCCTTTGAAATGCTTTATCATTTACAAGTTACTTTCGTATCTTCATTCAATATAGAATCGTGACCCTTACAAATGAACTTTACGTTATAGTTTTATACGTAAGGGTGTTCTAAAATTGTTTGTTTTGGATAATTTAATAACTCGGTAAATATTGATGTTTAAAGTATGTAAATGTTTAATGCAATTTTAAAAATTTATCCTCTATATGTGTGTTCATTTATTGTCGCGGTGGTAACGACACGCTGTATATATATAATAATAAATTAAAAAAGTAAGTAGTTAACTTTAAATAGGTTACAGTTGTTAATTTCATTTGTCACTAGTATAAGGTAATATGGCTCAGGTGGTGAGACTGAGGTGACCACCATTTTGGTAGCAAAATCTCTGTGGTGGTCTGGTGATTTATTTATTTAATGAGGACTGTTTTTTTCTTAGACTACACTACTCAAGAAGTGCAGACAGCTCAACTGCTTTTGGCCTCATAGCAATTCTTTAACATAACACCTATTACATGCAACTTAAAATGATTTTGTTGTGTTATTATATATTTTATCTCCTGTTTTTAAGGGCATTTTGAGCATGAAGGAGCAAAAAAGAGGACGGAGCGCCCCATCTATTGCTGGAATACCGGTAAATCTGTTTAATTATTTCTTTTATATTTTCTGTGTATAATATTAATTAACACATTTATAAAAAATTAATTAATTGTGGTAGGAACACGCAACAGTGTTCACTGTTGCATGAATGGGCAGGTCCGTCCGTTTAAATACCACAACCTCACAGAAGACTAACATAAGGTAGAAGTGTTACACTTCTGCGTTTCGTCTGGTGAGTGAGGTAGCCGGGGTCCACTTTATTAAAAGGTGGCAACGCATTTGCAACTCTACGGGTGTCGGTTACAACTTAACATCAGGTGAACCGCCAGCTCTCTTGCCACTTTGGCACATAAAAAAATAAAAAATAATTACCAATCCAAAGTTCAATAAACAAATAATTTGCAATAAAATAATATTACCACTAGATTTTAGGGAGATCGACTTGAGCGGTTGTAGGTTTTTGACGTTTCCACGTGTTTCCACGTAACTTAAGTTAACTTTCTGTAATTTATAATTAAATATTTTAGTTGTGTTTTGTGGTTGTGGTTTTTTATTATTATTCCCTATGGTTATCTTTCAAGTTGAATAAAACTGCACATGGTGTGCAAATTTGATTAAAATCAGTTAAGTAGTTTAGGGAGTCCATCGCGGACAAACAATGTGACAAGTAGTTTATATATATTAAAATATGATTTCACAGGGACTCTCATCGTGCAACACATCTACGGTAAATGAATCCCTCAATGACTCCACAGTCAACAGCACTGCAGAGTTTTCTGGTAAATCATTTTTGTGTTATGTTTATTATTTGTTTATTCAGAAATTTACTGTTAACACCCCCAATGTAAGGGCAAACTTAATGCTTATAAGCATTATAAATAATACATATTTTTAAAAAAGGTCTTTGTAGAACTTAATGGGCACATTCAAATATTGCAGAACTTTATACTATTAGCACTAATGCTAATTAATATAAACATTGTCTATATAAATGTATTGTTTTGTGATATTATACAGATAGTATAGAATTCTTTAATGCTAATTTGGTTTTTTTTAACTTCCATACCTCTTAGAAGTTTATGAACATTGTGTTATTAATTACTATTGGTTATATTCTCAAACTTTGCTTGCATGCACAGCTATAGATTAGATAGGTTGGAAATGTGAAATGTGTTTTGTCTAATGTTCTTGTCATTTCTTAATTTCTAGTATCAGGCGTGAAAAACGAAAAGAGAGTGCACAAGCCCTTGAGAATGCCAAAGACGGACTGTAAGTTAAAATTTATAGAAATGACTGACTTTTTTTAAATGGTATTAATGCATCTGCAAACAGATGTAATCGCTTAACTTCCAGTGAACTGGAAAAACTGTCTTTTTCTTGTGCTAGTTTAGTTTTAGTTTTGTAGGAAATTCTTCAAGTAAATTATATTTGACAGTCAAAAAGGTGCTGTCAAATATAATGTATTTTTCATTTAAATAGTAGTATTATTATATTAGTAGTAATAGTCTATCTGGTATAATGTACTTTAAGTAGTAGTTTAGTAGTGTAGTTTAATTTATAATGTAATGATTTTTTTTTTGTAATTTAAAATATAATGATTTTTTTTTCTAATATGTGAGAGCAGTTTTTAATAAACAAAAACTGTTTCTTTGCAATGTTAGTAAAGATTAAAATGAATGCTCTGTATGGTAAAGAACTGACTGACAGTTGGACATATCTGCAACTTCACTACATTATTGTATAAAATGAAATTGTAAGAAGGCTTGAATATTATATAAAAATAATTGAGTACACATACAATCCAATCACTTACAATCAAAAACCTTCAATGAAATCCAAGAAATATTGTTATTTTGTTATAAATATGGTTTATCTTAAATACAATTTTTAAATTGCTAATTAAGATAATAATCCAAGGACAAAATCTGTCAATTTCTCCTGCTTTATATTTGTACTTTATGGAATAATCATAAGGTTTAATGGTCAAAATTAAATAAAAAGTTAATCATTGAAAGCCTAGCTATAGCCTGTGAAAATGATGAATTATGTGGAAAATAAGTATGATCATGTATGTATCAATGTAAAGTAACAGCATATAAATGTCCCACTGCTGGGCAACGGCCTCCTCTGTACAGAGGATATCAGGGCATAGTCCAACACGCGACCCTACTGCGGATTGGTGCACCAAACATATCTTCGAAATGTTTTTTTGTATATATTTCGAAAATATGCAGGTTCCTCACGATGTTTCCCTTCACCGTGCTGAGCACGTGATAATTCAGCACTTAAAGTTAACAATTTCATTGGTGCTGGATCAGTAAATTGAATTAAAATCGAGCGCCTAGACACAGGGCTATCACGGCTTCTGTATAATCTGATAAAATATATCTTCTGATATCAGTATATGTATAATATTGTATTATGTCTCGACAGACTCTCAAACCATCCGTCCAGCCCCAGAGTTAACGGAATCAAACTTCCCCAAGTTAACCGCTGGTCATGGAAGAGGTAATATTTTAATACACTTTATATTTTGTGTCCCATTGCAGTTTAGTTTGCGGTAAAAGCAGACAAAACCATATAAAATACAGTAAAAACATGTAGCTTTAATGCATTTTGCTGCTTTTGGCACAAATCGGAAAAATGATGAGAGTGAATTTTTAACGATCTGCTAAAGTGACACCCGCTTTATTGTGTTATCGAACAATAACAACTTCTTGACATTTACCTATAATTCCAAATTATCTAATTAAAACTTTATTAATTGGCGCATGGGATGAAATTTCTAGATATTTTTCTTTTGCTCCTTCTAAAGAAGTATAACTTGTTAAGTGCGTACACATACGCGTTTTATTTTGTGAAGTAAACATTCGAAAATTCATCATCATCATCATTTCAGCCTGTTTGAGTCCACTGCTGAACATAGACCACGAAGTACGATCCTGGGCCACCTGCAACCATCGACTTCCCGCACATAAATTACATTAACGGCCGGTTTCTGAAACACTGATCAACGTAGATGTCAACTAATCAGCTGTCAAATGAATTTCAAATGTCATTTGAGTTGCCCAAAGGATGTTTAAACTCTTTGAATTGATCATTCTGATCATTAAGAAGATCATTCTGGTCAATTCAGAGAGTTTAACCATCCTTTTGGTACCTAAATTGTAATTTAAAATCCATTTGACATCTGATTAGTTGACATCTACGATGATCAGTGCTTCAGAAACCGGGCATTAATGTACAAATTGTTAATTAGTTATGAGTTGGTAATATTTCATGATTTCATTTGTTTCAGGCCGCGGTATGTCTGCAAGTTTCAGCAAGTTAAAGCTTGACAAGTAATATGGCAGTTACAGTTGTACTCTAAGCTCAGTTAATCAAAAACAAGACAAGTTGTGATTACATTATGATTATATTATACTTTGACTAAATTCAAACTATTATGAGTACTGAAAACAAATTTCTAAACTATCATGTTGTGTGTGTTTATTGCTAAACAGCAACAAGTTTTTTAGTGACAAGTATTTTTTAGATATACGATTTAATCAGGGCTTTAGACAACCATAAACTAAAAAAATCATATTATATCTACAACTTATTCGAAGTGATTTTATTTTGTTGATTAAAGGTTAGTCTTCCTCTGTCCTCATAATTAATAAGTGACAAATATGTTACTAATTTAATTAAAATAATATTTTTTTTTTTTTAGTTACCAAACAATAAAATAGAAATTGTCGAATGTTATTTATGTTCAAATAAATACATGAATCTCCACTTTCCATGTTTATTTCAACGATATATTTATATTTGTAGTTGCCATAACTTAAAAATTTACCATGTTTAATTTTTATACATAGTAGATTATAGTAGAGCTATGGTATACTATACTGACCGTTTTTTTCCATGTCAAAATCAAAAATCAAATCAGTCAAAATTTCTTTATTCAATATAGGCTTATTTTAAGATCTTATTGAACGTCAAAAAACTAACACCGATTTTCTAAACTATATCTGTCCAGAGAAGAACCGACAGGAAACTGCGGCTCTGTCATATCTGAATTTTTTTTTAATTATATAAGCTTACAAAATTATTTACTTGCAAGTGCAAAGCAATTGCAAAAGTGATTACCACATCCATGTCCTAAATGTTTTCTTCGACCTCATAATGGGCCCTTTTTCCATTAAGGTAGCTTTTAAAAAGTATTTAAATTGTTTATGGTTCGTAAAGTTTGTGGATGCCACCTATTTATTGAAATAATTCCATTAAAACTGAGGTTCAGGTTAGGCGTCCCGTGCGCCAGGCCACCTCAAGTCTGTCGGAACTGTGAAGGCCCCTAAGGCCAACAGTGGCTCATCTAGTCCAAAAAAAAAAATTTCGTTACAAACTAGTACTGTGAGATTGCCAAGTACTGCAGTTTAAATGGAATCGTTTATTTGTAGTTAAATTGTAATTCAGTTCTATTTTCCTGTATGCACGTTGTTGACGAAAAATATATTGTTAGGAAACCGGCTTGTATGTGAATAAATATAAAAATAACGGTTAATAAATAATAGATGGCTTTAATTTATTGGCAGGGAACAAAATTCAATACGAAAAGGTTTTATTCATTTGAACATAGTACTGGCCAGTTTTATAATGATTATAGTAGTATAAAATTTGAATATTTGCAGATGAATGGAAAAATACTTTCGGTAATGCGTCTTCCGTGTAACGCGTCCATAGAATGTGGTCTTTTAGTGCAGAGACTAGAACTAAAATCAAAACTTATAACAGTTTGTAATTGTTGGTATGTGTTTAAAATAGTACATTCCAAATTAAATAGAGACCACCTTTTTACCATGTTTTGTAGCCTGTGGCTTGATTCTCCGTCAGTTAAATAATTTTTAGGAGTCTTTTAAGGAATTATATTATATCATTGTTATTGTCGTTCAGTGTCTTAATCACTGCATAGTATAAAACAAAGTCGTCACGCTGTCTGTTTGTCCCTATGTATGCTTAGATCTTTAAAACGACGCAACGGATCTTGATGCATTTTTTTTTTTACTAGATAGAGTGATTCAAGAGGAAGGTTTATATGTATAATACATTACACCCGTGCGAACCCGGGACGGGACGCTAGTAAATGATAAATTAAAAATCTAGCAAAATTTTAGTTGCATGATGCAGCGCATCTTGAGCTCGATCAAAATAGCTCAAAGGCTAAATTTAAGCCGTTGGTCAGTCCAAAGGTCCTGGCAACGCTATCAAGAGACTGATTACGTTGATAGAGTACCTGCTTCTGGATGTAACGAATTACAAATCTTCGTATGTGGCATTCAATATAACCTCGAAGAAATAATAAATGTTCAAATTAGGCCATAAAAACACAGAAGATTTTTCGTTGCCAAAACACGCAGTCATCGTCGGAGCCCCGGATATAATATACTCCGTGAGCTTCTCTCGAAATAATGTGTAGTCCTCCTCAGTTGCCTGGGGAAGCTCTACGAGCGGCTTTTATTAAACAGGCTCAATGAGCACGTGTTTTCCAACGGCCTTCTGCCAGCGGAACAATTCGGCTTTCGAGCTAAACATTCCTGTCCCGATCAACTATTCCGCCTAACGGAACATATCCTAAAAGGATTAAATCACCCTAAACATATTAGTACAGGGGCTCTTTTCTTCGATGTCGCAAAAGCATTCGACAAGGTCTGGCACAACGGCTTGCTACACACTCAAAGTGCCAGATAGGCTCGTACACACCATCCAGGCCTTCCTGTCGAACCGCTCTTTTCGATATCGAGTTGAAAGCACCCTCTCCACACGCCTTGTGGTACGCCGCCTCACGGCCGGCGTACCACAAGGCTCCTGCCTCTCACCTTTGCTCTTTACGCTCTACACGAGCGATATACCTAAAGACCCCCACGTCAATCTCGCGCTTTTCGCGGATGACACGGCGCTCTTTTTTATTCAGACCGCAACCTTAGACAACTAACCACTCGACTCCAAAGCGCTGCCGACCGCCTCGGCGATTGGTTCCGCAAATGGAGAATAGAAATACATCCCGAAAAGAGTGTGGCGATTCACTTCACACGAAGTACTTACCCGTCACATCTTTATAATGGCCCTCGTCAATGTAGAAAGTTGGGTAAAATATCCCTTTATGGCCAACCGCTCCCCTGGGAGAAAAAGGTCAAATACTTAGGAGTCACTTTCGACTCGCGTATGTCATTTACTACGCACATTAATAACGTTCGCAATAGAGCCGCGTTCGTCTCCGGCCGGCTACACAATTTAACTAACGCTAAAAGTAAAATGCCCTTAAGGCACAAATTATTATTATATAAGACCTGCGTACGACCTATTATGTCTTACGCATGCATGACCTTCGCCCACACGCACCCTACTCGCTTGTACAAGTTGCAAATAGTACAAAATAAGTTCATCCGCCGCGCAACCGGTGCGCAGTGGTATCAACGCAACGTCGACCTGCACAGCGATTGCAGACTCCCGACGATTCGCGAATATTTTAAAGACCTGATCAAACGGTTCTTCGATAGAGCCGAACATCATCCCAACCCTCTGGTGGTAAGCGCAGCAAATTAACAACCCGACAAAAAAGCGAACGTCAACAAGCGTCGCCCGCGAAACGTCCTAATCGACCCGGTCGAGGAAGGGTCCTTAGACACGCCGGACCCACTGCCGGGGATCCCGCCGGACAACACTACACCCACAGTTAGTGCAACAACAAACACACTAGTTCGCCCTCGCCTCCGAGCACGGCGAGACCAACACAACGCGTACACAAGGTACACCCGTGTTCCGGGGCGGTTCTCACCGCCCCAGCCACCGATTAGCTAATTGCACAGTCGACGGCCATCGGGGTTTCGGTCCGAACCACGACCTCGATGGCCCTTAGATGACACACCATAGTTAAACGCACGCATGAACACATGCGTGGCCCTACCCACAGCGGAGGGCCAAAACCCGTGGGTTCTGGCTAGCCCACCGGTTCAGATGAAGCTTTAATAGTTTCGGGACTGAAAGCAAAAACATCAGTTAATACAAGACACAAGAAGATCTCTAAATATTTTCGTCTTTTGTCACAACATATTTTTATACAACGTTATCTAGTCTCAAACTAAGCAAAGCTATTTGGAGTATGGATACTTTTTAGGTAACTGTAACACATAATAAGTATATAATCATCCAGAGCCTAGAAAACACTATGTTATTAACACAATATTCTTTTTTTTAGTACTCGGAATCAAACTCACTTATAGGAAGGGTTTGAAGGTAGTTTTCCACAGCAACAGGTGCTAACAGGTGTCTATATTTAGGATTTAATTCAGAGTTTCAACTGTACGGCATAGAAACGGGACAACCAGAGAAAGCTCTCTTATATAGGTATAATATGAAGATATATATTTCGTAGTATACATGACTATTCCTCTTTGGGATTCTCGTTGACAGTTTCCAATTTGGCGACCTCTTCTTTGAGTTCCGGTCTGCTCGAGTTCGGCTGCGATTCGGTGGTTTCCGGTAGAGTTTCAGCCGCTATCTCCACGTCTTCCGCGTCCTTTTTGACTTCCGGTAGCTTAGCCACAGAGTATAGAGTAACATGACCGTTTTTCTCCTCGGTCGACTCTTCCTTAATTTCTACTATTGCACTCCTAACAAGCAGTATAACGTAACACTGAAACGCTGCAATGTCAGAGAGAATTCGTTAGCAAGAGTGATTATTTACGTATGTTTAAGGGTTTGTCCTACCATTGTTGACATGACGAATAGTCTAACATCATGCCTTTTGTTCAAAGTTAGAAAAGAATACTTAAAAAACAAATGCAATAATTCTGTACTCACCGATGTTGCTAATCACGTTAATCTTGGTCAGAAGCGTTATGGCAGCTATAACCATAGAGTAGACAAGGAGGGATGCCACTATAGCCGCTATGTCGAAGTACATATACGTTCGCAGCAATGTAATATCTTTCTAAAAATATTAAGCAAGTTAATTTTGCATATAATAGTAACAAGAAGAGTCGTTCAATAACCCTAGATCTAGAACTAGTCAATGATTTTAGGATATTTGTATTTTGTGTGGAAGGTGTAGGTAGGAAATCCCGACGACTAATGCGAGCTAGAAAGATTTATTGTAGTCTTCCTTTCGAATACATTGCACCTTTATTGTAAAATAACATTATCCTTTGTTGTAAGGATGATTTACATATATAAATTTCACGTGGGCAAACAATTGTCTGTGGTTAACACAAATAGTTGTCTCGTGTGGGACTCGAATCCACGGCCCCGGCGCCGTAGCCAATACCTTGGCAACTGTGCAGCAGAGACATCATAATATTGGCCTATTAAGTTTTTTTTTAATAGTTACAAGTTGACCTTGTTGAGAGTTGCCTTGCTTTGCATGACATGCTCGTTTTAAGTCCTTGTACTTTTAAAATTCTTGTCATAGACATTAGTTACCCACCACTAAAACATCACATGAATACTGTTTCAATTTGATTGCGATTATATCTCAGAAGTTAAATACTCGAATCAATTACAATTTTAAGTGCTGACCTATAACATGCTAGGTGTAAATATGCAGGAAACCTGCATATTTTCGATTACTAAGTGCTGGAGTTAAAAGATACATAAACATGCAAAAGGTGCATGTTTAAACAAGTTATTCTACTGATTACAGTTCATTCAAATTCGTCAACCGGTTACGGTAATATTATTTTACTAGTGATTTTGAAGACTGAACATACCCTGTACATAGCGCACAACAACAACATATTGAAGGCAAGCTCAGTGCCGTAGGCCATTACTCCAATGATCTTGGACCCTTCGTCGTCCAATATCACCTCCTGGACAGCCATCAGGGGTGGTGTGATGCCTCCATCGGCGGTACCCACCAACGAGAGCATCTAGGAACAAATGTTTGATCTTACCTTAATCGAAAGATGCCATCAACCTACCGGAATTGTAAATTGGAGGTTTAAAATTAGGTTTAAACGGTAAACAGCAAGATAATATTAAAATTTGTAGAAAAAGTACGAAAAGATTGTCGCCGCTGTGGGAATCGAACCCACGTCTTCGGCAATATCGATCGGCGGTGGTTATCACTTACCATCAGGTGAACTGCCGGCTACCCTTCCACCTTTAGATCAAGGCTTTTCGTTTATCAATGTTTTAATGGTTGGAAACAGAGGCAACCCTTCAATTGTTGTCGATGTCCATGGGCGGCGAACAGTTAACATCAGATGCACAGCCTACTTGATGGAGAACAGTCTTATGAAGTTAGACTACTACGGTAATTATTATAACTAATTTTGCTGCGAAGCTGTCTCCATTCGTGAACGATCCTCAAAATACAAGCGGGTATTTCGCGCGCGTCGTCACTGTATACAATGCACACTTACCGATAGAAATATGTTAAAATAGCCCGTGATCAGCACGCCGGTCCTGACGGGCGCGAAACAGCAACAGCTGTCAAGTTTGTAGTTCACTATCGCCGCTTTCACCGTGTCGTACAATTTCTCCATGGTGCCGCGCGGCCTCCCGTGCCCCGTGTCATCAGAACAACGGTACGAAACGAATGGCGCCCGAATTAATTGCAAAAACGCGCCGTAATTAGGATGCTAGTTAATGGTGAGGTCGAACGGAGCCGTCAATTGTTAACACAATGTCCAGCGGGTGCCGTGTTAATATGACTATAATATTTATCACTTAATTCCCTTAGCAATGTGTAATATTGTTTAAGACTTTTTAATGTTGCCTTCTGATGGTTTTTCAGTAACAAAGCGCTTTTATCATTAACATATTCCATTTTGTTGATGGAATTAATAGCGCTTCGGACGTGTTTGACTTAAAAATTGTTTTTTTGATGGAAAAACCATTCCAGTAATATAGGACCTATAGTGGTAGGGCCATTCAACAGCTTCTGCTGTCACACTAATGCGCAGGGTCATCCAGGGCAGCAGTACTTTACTTGCAGAGGCCTCCCCTGTACATAGAGTATTAGGGACCACACTGCGGGTTGACAGACTTCGAATATTTTCGAAATATTTTTATATTATTCCGAAAATATGCAGGTTACCTCGTGATGATGACCTTCACCGCCGAGCACGTGATAAAGCAGCACCTTAACACGGGATTCGAACTCACTTGCTTAAAAATTGTCAATTGATAGCAAGAGCCACGACACTGAGCTATCACGGCTCCCTATGTACTACATATAGTATTACATATAGGTAGTATTATAATTTTGCATTTTGTCTGATGTGTGAGGTAGTTGGCGCTCAATTTAAAGTCAGCCGCTTGTAGATGCCCATGGGCGGTGGTAATTACTTAACATAAAGTGAACCGTCTGCTCGCCTGGAAACTTGTGACATAAGAAAAATTGCGGAAAAAATCGAAATCACGAAATTAAGGAGCCTGTGAATAAAGTTTTATGTAGTACACAAATTAAGTCTCCTTTAAGATTTGAACTCACAAGTCGGGGGCACTTAAAGCTTTACATGATCTACTACTTAAATAGATGCTAATATGTGGTAAGAATAGGTGGCATATGAAATTATTCCATGTGGTGCAGTTTGAATGATTTCTTTTTCCAATGAGTTTTGCTAAACATAATAGTCGTCAATTTTCTAATATTATAAATACTCTGTGTTAAGGACACAAGGTTACTTACATTTTTTTAATGTGAAGAGGTAGCAAGCGACCTGGCCAATCACACAATATTTAGTAATAAGCGCCGCCCATGGAAATCTGCAAATCCATTAGGGTGGAAGATGCGTTGCCACCTTTCAATAAAGTGGGCCCCGTCTACCTCACCAGACGAAGTGCCTATAACACTAGTTCACGCTAGTTTCCTGTGAGGTCGTGATACTTCGCCGGACGGACTTGCCTATTCGTGCAACAGCGAAGACTATACCACTGGGATCTAAACATTATAAGGTTACTTAGTGACTAAACATTCGTTTCGTACCCAGAATTTGATTTAAGATAACATTATCCTGTGTTGTAAGGACGTTTTACAAACATAAATTTCACATGGACAAACACCCAGATGCGGAACAACTATCTGTGGGTCACACAAATAGTTGTCCCGTAGTCGGATTGAACCCACGATCCCCGACGCCGAAGCCAATACCTTGGCAATGGTGCCACGGAGTCATCAAATATTATTATTGATTTAAATTAGGTCCAAGGTTGCTTTATTTAAATATGTCTTTTAGCTGTGTGTCCATACTTTATTTCTATGGAAATCTACTTACCCGCCAAAAATGTATGACTGGACACTTGTACCTTACTAAAATTATTAGCAAATCATTAATTACAAGTAAAACTACATTGTGTGCCAAGTATGTTTGTATTTTATAATCTTTCAATATTACAACGTCAACTAGGTTATTAGTGGTCTACCAACGTAATATTGGCGGAAGAACACAAATACCCCGGTAAAAGAAGTCCAAATAAAACTAATAGGCTTTCAATAATTCGCATAGAGCAAAATAACATAAAGACTACTCCATCGATCCCACATCTGCAAAATAGTTATTCAATTTTGTGGTAGGGCCAACCTCCCTGATAGCAAGCCCCGGGGCGGCAGGTGTGGGACTAACTGCTGCCCCGCGGAGGGCTTGAGAGGGGTGCCGTGCTCATTGCACCGACACGGCACCATTTGGCTGGACCGGGTGTCTAAGCAGTCGGGGAGAGGAGGCCTGAGAAGGCCACGATTGCGCCGGGGTTCGCGGAAGATTGCGTTTTTGTGTTCCCGTGTCCCCGGCAAAGCGACAGCGCAGGTGCAACGTGGGTTTTTTAGTGGGTACCCTGTAACTCCCACATACCCCTGATGCCTACCCACAAGGCGGCGGGGGATCCATAAAGGATTTTTCCCACGTAAAAAAAAAAGAAAAAAAAGGGCCAACCTGACGACAACGGCAAAATATGTTGCACGAATGGGCAGGTCCGTCCGGGTAAGTAGCTTCTGCGTTTCGTCTAGTGAGTGAGGTAGTCGGGGCCCACTTTATTAAAAGGTGACAACGCATCTGCAACCCTACGGGTGTTGCAAATGTGCATGGGCGGTCCTTTACTAAACATTGTGTGATTCGCCAGGTCGCTTGCTACCTCTTCACATTAAAAAAATGTAAGTAACCTTGTGTCCTTAACACAGAGTATTTATAATATTAGAAAATTGACGACTATTATGTTTAGCAAAACTCACTCAACTGTTTGCCACTTTGTCACATAAAAAAAATTCAACGACGAAACTAAAAAAAACGTCTTTTTTTTAATTTTTCCGATAAAAAATAAGTTTTATCATAAAATATATATCAGACAAAAAGTCATAAAATTGTTCTTATACATTTTATTTCTAAGAATCAATATTCCTGAAATAATACAGTAACAAATTACCGAAAACAACACCGATGGAGGCTTCATCCACGGCATGGACCTCATTTGATAGCAGAATCAAAAGGAAATTGAGATTTCATGACGAGACTATTACGTCCATCTATATTAAGAAGTTATTGTTTTCTGCTGACAATAATAAATATAGAATTTGCAATTTTTTTTTATGACCGAAATGTATATTTGTTTTGTTTAAAAGGTAAGTTCAATGAGTATAATAATTTTCATAAATTTTGTGTATTTTCTAGTTCCAACATATGATATTTCACAAAGGTTGACAACATTGAAGCATTTCACAATATTAATTTAATAAAATTAACATTCCAACAATTTTTTTTCTTTTGATATCTTAAACTATTTAAGCATTGTTTTCCCATGTATCCATTGTCTTGAAGCAATCTTAAATCTTTATAACAGTAAAGATTGAAGAATTTTTAAACAAAACACAGATTTGGATGTTAGAATAAATGAAGTAGTTTTAATCACAATTATTTATTTGAAAGGGAAACTCATTAATCATTTTTTGTTAGTATGTACTTCAACAAATTTATTCTATGTTGTTATAATAACTTGTTCAATACATTTATAATGATTCTTATGGTCCTAATACTAGTTAGCTGAGGTTTTTCAACCAAAAAGACTATATCAATCATCTAAGTACTCAAAAGGTTCTGGTGGCTCGGGTTCCTTCTCTTCCTCAGTCTTGGGACCAAATGCTGCTACAGGTTCCACTAAAACTTGTTCAATGTCTCCAGAATGATTAAGCATAACAATTCCCCCAATGGTAACATCTTTAAGCGGATTAAATCCGGAGCCTTCAACAATGGAGATGCCCTTAAGTTGTTGCCGCATCACTCTAGCAGGGTTGCTCAGAATCTCAAAGTTGGGCTCAGGTTCCTTCTTCTCTTTAGCCTCTTTTTCGTCACCTTCTTTCTCGTCTTTCTTCCCTTCCTTAGAACTTCCGGCGTCCTTGTCGGATTTCCCGTGAACAGTTATATTAGGATTCGGTGATTTAGTTGGTTTCTTCTCCTCTTCATCAACTTCCATTTTTGATGTGGTGGATGTGGTAGCACTACTGCTAGTACTATCAGTTCCGTGCGCCCGCCTGCGCGCCCTCGCCGCAGCAATACTCAGTACGGCAGTGGTGACCCTTTCTCTCTCCTCGCGTTTCTTTTCTTCCAAAGCTGCTGGGTAGGCATACAGGGATGGCTTCGCGTTTGACTTTATGTCGAGTTGGGGCATTTTAAGATCGGAGTTGAGCGCGATCAGACAAGTCGGTGTAAATGCCAGAGACAAACAATGAGCAAGCGGGAACCAATACCAGTATTGCGTGAAAACCAACATTCCGACCACTGCAAGCATGTTCATGTGGCCAGTTCTGTTTTGAAGAGAAACTGTTACGTTTCGTCCACCGGCGTCGATGATACCCTGAGCCAAGATGGCGCCGAATTTCGCCATGACATCTTCGTGTTTATTAGATATCACCTGCGCGTACAGCTGACGGAAGTAGGTTACCTTAGGGCACAGGGATTCAGTTTGTTGAATGAGTATCATTGCCGATGCGATCAACGCCCCCTGCCTGACGAAATTGACGGGGTCGAATTTAACCATTGGCTCCAGTAGACCGATGGCCTCGCGGTTGCCGGTGCCCGCGCACGCTATGCCCAACGCCATAGCAGCACCGTAACGTACGTGAGGATTATACGACTCCGCTAACAGGGAGACTACTGAGGGACATTGTTCAGGGGTCCTAAACAGTAGAAAACCGAGTGCTGTTACAGCTGCGCGTCGAACGTCATCGTTGACATCGGAAACTGCAACATGCAAGAGCGTACGAATCGAGTCATTGTTTCCGGTACCACAATACGCGGTAGCGATGGTGTAGCAGCCAGCGCGTCTCAACAGTGGATCTTTGTCTCTCAGTAACTGTTGAACCAAAGCGTCAGCCTCTTCGAGGCGTCCGTACATGGTGAAGGAAATACCGACGGCTAGACCTCGCAAAATCTTCTCGTGTTGGGTTTCTTGGGCGTAAGCGACCATATCTTCAATGGCGGCTGCATTCCTTGAGCCTAACATGACCATGCCCATTGCTATACCGGCAGCTTCACCGGTGACTGCATCGTCTTGGTACAGGTTAAACTTGAGCTGTTCATATACATCCTGCCTGTGAGTACCCATAGCGGCCAAACCTAGGCCAAGACACCCACCGTGGCGCACCATTTCATTTTGAGCATCTTTTAACTGTGTTAAAAGATAGTCAATGATGTTGGCACCATGGTTCGCGTGAATTAATCCTAAGGCATATAATCCACCACCCTCCGAGTACCCTGAAGAGGGCCCAGCCTCTTTTGGTAAGTATGATTGCATAAGTGCCAATGACTCATTTTCATGGCCTCTATGAATGACACCAAGAGATGCTGTTACTGTCAACTTAGCCCAGTTGGTTGCCCTAGCAAGCCACTCCAGGTTGTCCCTCAAGAACTGGTCACTAGTTGTGCCAGCATGCATGAAAGCATTTGCTATGACTGTTGCTGTATGACAAATGGAGACTCTAATAGCATCTTTTGTATTCTTCAAAATAAGCATATCAGCATGGTTTGATCTGATCAAAAATTGTAACTGCAAACCAATGGACACATCTCCGCCCAAGATTGAAATTAATTTTTCAACTCTTTTTTGATGCTCCTTTTCTTCATCATTCAGACTTTCTATATCTCTTTCGGGTTTCTTAGATTCTTCAGATGTTGGTTGATCCACATCCATGGAGGATTCTGGAAAAGGTCCACCCTGTGGTTGAGGTCTGCCACCAAGTGCCCCAGGAATTGGAGCAGTGGTTCTTAAAGCTTGCAAAACCCTACCTAAAAACTGCTGTGTCGCTGAATCATATAAGTCGAAGGCAATCTGATAAGCCATGAGTACTGATTCCTGAGGTCCATGGGTAAGTTTATCAAGAATTTCTGCAACTGATAATGGGTCCTCTAAGAAAATTAAGCATTGACACATGTTCACATAATCTGGGATATTAAGGCCTCTATAAAGGCCTACTAGTGAACGCAATACTGTACTGCGGAAACCTCTATTTTGAAGAAGGCTCATTGCAACTGTGAAGGCATACTGAAGCATTCCTGAAAAGGAGATGTAAAAATTTTAATTTCCGTAATTCACTAACTATATTATTAAAATATTAGAGACAATTCATCACAAATTTCAATTGTCAGGGGAAACATACAATTTTTTTTTTCATTTTAATGTTTATCAATAAAATAGTAAAAATTTGTATTCATAAGACACACAAAACACATACAAAAGAATCTGATAAATTTTTCTCCATTTATTAGTACCTAATTAATGAATTACACATATTGTATAAATATTTGTTGTTCTATTAGGCTAAATATTAATGTTATGAAGAAATTTTGTAAAACATTATTTTAACATAATAAACATTTATTTTATTATTCTAAGATAATGAGAAGATTCAAATCATACCTGCTATATCATCAGACTTCATGATGGATTCTTCAAAGATATCCATGCGACGAGTCTCAAGTGCCAAGCCCAGAGCCTGGCGGTACTGACCATCGTCAAGGCATCGTTGGAACATGCGATTCACAATGGCCTCCAATCGGGGATCAATAAGCTCGGAAGAGCTGTCTACAAATAAAGCCTTACGTTTCTGAGTATAGAAGTCGATTGCCTTCGCGATTGTTGTGTCAACATACTCATTTCTTGCGTTTACATCAAACAAATCACCTGCACCAAGTGCATACGTCAAGGAGTCTTCAAATGCACCCAGGTGATAGTATACCTTACTGGCTACTAAAGCAGCAAGTTGATGCTGTGAAAACACTTTATCTTCGTGAAGAATCTCGATTTTCTCAATAGATTCGGAGATTTCGGGCCAAAATTGATCTACAATGTTGTCCAATCTTTTCAATGCAAACTCTTTCACTTCGTGCATGGGCTCATCGAGCAGGGATATTATCCCTGCGGCTGACGTGATATTCATCTTTTAATTTTGCTTGCTATAATCTTCCACAGTCCACTAAACAGGAATGATTTTCTTTGTGAAAATACAAACTCTGAATGAATATGAGTTCACGATGATTTGACAAATTCGTTTTACTTTTACCATAGGCAATCCTCTAGAGTGCGCAATATTCGTTTCAATTGTCTTCGACTTTTAATACAACCAATGTCAAGGAAGAGTATTGTACTTATTCTCTCCTCTTATTGGTGGAAATTAGAAAAGATATAACGTTAACAATAGACATTTTTTTTTTCGTTTAGGATTAAGGAAAAAGTTTTTATTAAATTAAAATTGCATTAAATTATAAAACAAATGAACAAAAATATTAACAATATTATCTAATAAACCTAGCACAAGCGGACATGCTGCCGAGAACGCTAATTGCATTTCCTCGCTGAATAGTTTCGAGCGAAAAAGAAATTATGTTTTGTTTTAAATTATTTATTTCCTTTACGGTGAAAACATTTTTAATTTATTGAATGCCGAATGCATAACATACTAAGTAAAATTTCTCAACGAATAATCCTTGCATTGTGAGCTGAGTTGTCAATTTTATGTCATCGGGCACTGTCAGTCTTGCAATAGCAACGTACACAACTCGTACATAACTACTACGTAGTAAGGCATCTGTTAGTGAAACAAAAAGACCATATATTAAAATTATATAAAATGCTCGACTTGTTTAGCATCTTCAGTAAAGGAGGCATCGTGCTGTGGTGTTTCCAAAGTACCAGCGAAATATTTTCACCGTCTGTGAATGCTCTCATTCGTAGTGTAATATTGCAGGTAAGTTCAGTGTCAATTGAAGCCCTTCATAGAATAATTAACCATATCTATAAAGTTTGACATAGAAACAAAGTCTAGAAGTTTGACGTAGAAACAAAGAACCATCTTAATGAGTTGGCACCTGTATTATTTATCTTTAATGCTTGATTTCCAGGAACGCTCTGGGAATAACACGTTTAACCATAACTCTTTAACACTCCAATACAAGCTCGATAATGAGTTTGAACTTGTGTTTGTGGTTGCATATCAGCGCATACTACAATTATCTTATGTAGATAAGTTTTTAAATGATGTGCACTTGGAGTTTAGGGACAAGTACAAAAATGATCTGCAGACAGGGCGCTACAACATGGACTTTGAGTTCAAAATGTGTTTTGACAGGGTTCTGAAGGAATGTGAGCATTGGGGTAGGTATCATTTATTTTTATTGCTGTCCAAATACTGTGTAATGGACACTTTGTAACCTTACTTTAAGAGATAAAAATAAAGAAGGAAAAGCATAAAGGGGAAAAATAGTCCCCAATTATATGATTAAACATTATGTGATTGCCACTTATAACATGTACTTTAAATTGTGATATAAATAATAATATAATGAAATAGTAAAAGTAGTAAAATTTTACCTTTAATTTTAAAGTTCTTGGAATTTAAGTAGATCTTTATAATTTATAGCACTGGTTTTGATCTTGTCTTCTTTGCTGTAACCAAGAATATTTTTAAATTGCCAAAACATATGAAACTTTAAGCAGAACAGCATGTTCATAAATTCGAAAATAAATTTGTTGTTTTTGATGTTAAATAGTCATTATTTATAATGTTTTTTGATCATGTATCTTTTCATTTTACAGCAAAGTCACAAGCTAAGATTCCAAAACAAATGAGATCCTTTGAGGATTCTCAGAAATCTAAGAAAACTGTAGCTTCTATGATAGAGAGGAAAGGGGAAGAAAAGAATAAGAAATCTGGTAAGGCTTATAGTAGTTTGTACTGTATTCATAACTTGATCTACAATGTTGTCCATATATATTCACAAGAACAATGATTATCATTGAATAAATGTTTATTTAGCCGTGTCATGAAATTAGATTGGTGAATCTAAATATGTAAATAAGAAATCTACATTTTTAATTGTCACCCTATCTGACTTTGGTATATTAACCTACTGTGTGTTACATCAACTTAATTAGAAAAATATTTCTTGCCAATGTTGTTATAATCTAAGGGTATTTAGTGTTTACACAATTTCATAAAGGGTAGGGCCACACGGTAGCGTTAACTGTTGCATGAATGGGCAGGTCCATCTGGAGAAGTACCACAACCTCATGAAGACCAGTGATCCCACATAAAAAAATGAATTACAGTATATTATGTTTGTAGTTTTTAGTTATAGTTTCCATGATATGGAACCTTGATGTTGTGGAACCATGATGCAATACATGATATTCCCAATAAAAACTTTCTCAAAAGTTGATATCATTAGACTATTTCTGTCTAATTTTATCTATTTTATCTATATATAAATTATTGTTTAAATTCCTAACACACCATATTTTTAAACAATTATATGAATGTTGCAGTAAAAATAGTTGAAACTAAGAATCTGACCAATGGGAAACTTGAAGAGTCACCAGAGCCAGAAGATGATGTGATATTAGCTAACAGAGCAAAGCTAGCTCAGAAATTAGCCACTAAGAACAAAAAGGAACCCAAGTAAGCCACACTCGCAATTATTTTATAATCCAGTTAAAACCGAATTATGTAATACTATTGTTCTAGATTTAAGTGTGCAGTACTGTAAGCTTAAATGTTATTCATTAATTGTTTTATTTCTTAAAATAGAAATTGCAAGGTATTTTCCCACTAAAAATTTTACAACATATCTTTTTTACTTAATATAGCAATGTTGTTAAACCTGTTTTAATTGAATATACTCCTGTATTACTGTTGAATTTTTTGTGTAAAAAAAAACCATTGAATTGTATTCTCGCTTGCCATCTCGTTAAATAAAAAATAAATAAAGAGAAAGAACACTTGATGATGATGATGACATGTATAAGTGTTTAAAGAACTTCATGAACTTAATTATATTGTTGCTTTTCCAGAAAGTCTCCCAAGAGTCCAAAGACTGTGGACCGTGTTAAGAAACCCCGTGTTTGGGAACTTGGTGGTGGTAATCGAGACCTGCCATCTTTGGACTTCAGTACTGACAAAGATGAGGCGGTCAATGAAATTGCTCCTGACACAGAGGTACACAATTCATTAACTGTCTACAATATTTTTACATAGGAAATAGATCTCTAATGATCAAAGACTTTGGTTAAGATTTCTAGTTTTTTCTTATCCTAGATGTTAATATGAGACAACTGTATAAAAGCCTTGCATTGTTGTCTCATGTTAATGCCCAGAACACTACATAGATTAAGTAATGCTTTTATGGCACATTCAAAATGTATTATTTAGTAGTTAAGACTAGAAATGAATTGATCAATCCAGACTCAAGTGGACTTTAATATATTGTATACATGTTTAAATCAATCATTGTCAAATAATAATAAAAAATAATTGTGCCATTAAGTTTCTTTTGTTGGTTTTTCTAAGGTCAGGATAACATTGTGTAAAAATATGTCCAAAATATTTATTTATATCTGTTATTTGGGTTCAATAAACAAGAAAGCTTCTGATGTATTTATAAATAAAAACACTATGCCATATGTGCTGTATAAGGGTGAAAAATGTGGTAGAAACCTGTTAACTGTGAATTTAATCTCCATCTTCACCATTGGGGGAGGGAAGGGAAGAAGAGAGTTACCTTTTTCGATTTGTCAAATGATTAATTTCAATTTCAGCTCTTGGGTAAAATGGCAGGAGCTATCAAAGACTTAGAGGTTGAATCGGACTACAGTAGTAGCGATGAAGAAGTTGAGCAAACCTCACAGGCAAGCCCTAAGAAGTCTGGTGGCATGTTCAGCCTATTCAAAGGTTGGTAATGAAGCAATATGGTTTATTGCTCTTTGTAGCGAGCAGAAAGTTCAACTGATGTGAAGCAATTACCGCATGTACGAAAATACCCTTAACGGAGGTCAATACCTATATTATATGCTTTAAAAGTTCTCCTGATACTTTACCCAGAAACTTAAAATTATATAAAATACCTGGGCAATCCTGTAATTCCCTGGATACCTAGCCTATTTGGGCAACATAAGAAGCTACTGTGAGGCCCTACTACAGTTAAATAAATGTGCAATGTACAAGGCTTTATCACATCATACTATAAGTGTGATTGGTTAATAGAAATTACTGAAACTTATACCAAACTAGGTCAATAAAATCCTGTTCACCTTTATCTTGTACTATGACATTGTCGGTTTCCAGGTTTAGTTGGATCCAAGGCGCTTAGTGAGGAGACCATGCGGCCAGTGCTAGATAAACTGAGGGACCATCTCATTGGGAAGAATGTTGCCGCAGACATTGCCAACAAACTGTGTGACTCAGTGGCCACCAAGCTAGAGGGCAAGGTATGGTGAAAGCTTTTACAAATTTCATTTCCAGAAAGTGTTACTATAAACATAATTATATTGTTTGTCTTAATATTAATATTTTAAATTGTCATTATTAATATGCCCAATGAAACTACAATTTGCAACTTGTCATATTCCAATATGTGTAATCTTAAATACCTACTTACTTTGTTTTCCAATAAAGTTAAATAAGTGTGAGTAGTAGAAGTAGCGAGCGACAATTGATGTGTTGTGTGAAGCTACTTAACTTATTACAACTCCGGCAAAATTTAAAGGATAGTTAACTTATTCTGGTTTTCTCAACAGGTGCTTGGAACCTTCGAGAGTGTTGCTAAAACTGTACGCAGCACGCTCACCGAGTCGCTGGTTCAAATCCTTTCTCCGAAGCGTCGTGTTGACATCCTTCGTGATTGTATGCACGCCAAACAACAAGGGCGGCCCTACGTCATGACATTCTGTGGGGTAAGTCTACCTTTCTATTAAGGTAGTGTATTCCACTGCTGGACCAAGCCTCCTCTGTTTCAGGGCATAAATTCTTTTCGTTTTATTAAATATGTTTTTTTACATACTGTCGAGAAATATGCTTACAGAAAATTTATGTTGTAACAATGATTAGAATGAAAAAAAAGTGAATTTGGCCGTTCTGTAGTTGCTACGCCTGGAAATCGTATGTATTTTGTTGAGTAGGGGATGGGTATTAATTTTATTAAGAACTTACAAAAGATTGTTTTTTTTTTAAATAATTCCTGAAAGTTAAATATTATTTTGGGGGTATTTATTTGTTTTCTCGTCTGGTTGGGTTTGGGGATAAATAATAAACATATAAATATATATTGCATATATAAAATAAATATTATGAATAAAAATAAAGATACAAATATAAATATTATATATAATCTGATATAAATTCTATATTTATTCTTCAAAAAAGAGCTGTCCGAGCAATCTATAACATCGGAGCCCGGAATACACTCAGAGACCTTTTTAAAGAGATTAATATACTCACTGTTGCGTCTCAATATATTTATTGTAACATTTTGTATGTTAAAAATAATATTAATAGTTATCTAAAGAATAGTGACAGACATAAACTAAATACTAGAAATAAGGACAAACTAACTACGCCATTGTTTCGTTTACAAAAAGTAAACAGGTCGTTCATGGGGCAAGGTGTGCGCATGTATAATAAAATCCCACAGTCGATATTAAGTCTGCCACTTGATGAATTTAAACGAAAAATTAAAAGTAAACTTATGGCTAAAGCCTATTATTCTATTGCTGAATATCTTGACGACGCCAATGTGTGGGGTTAATACTGTTGATACTCACGTAGGCTAAAACAAGACTATTGTACATGTACTATTATATTGTAAACTGATTTTTTTTTAAAAAGAGCAACTGTTGAGTTTCTTGCCGGTTTCTTCTCAACAGAAACTGCTTTCCGAACCGGTGGTAACTTACGAACGTGTTCATTTCTTGTAAAATTTTGACGTTTCATAAGAACGCGCAAGCGTCTATGTGAATAAAGATATTTTTATTTATTTATTTATTTAATACATAAATAAATAGGACCCAACCAGACGGAAGCCCTCGGCAGGGGAGACCAAACGGCCGAGGGTTAGGGTGAGAGGGAGAGAAACCGGCGGACGATGCGGGCAGTATCGAGGAGCACCGCCTTCTGCATTTGAGCTTGGAGCGTTCCGTCCCGGAGTCGCCTCAGATGTTCGGAGAGGCTGACTGGGATTAACCCATTCGCAGACACGACTATTGGGATAATTTCGGTCGGCACACCACCCCACATGTCGGTCACCTCGTGAGCCAGGTCCAGATATTTCGTCTTCTTATCTGTTTCGGCTTTCACGAGATTCTCGTCATATGGAATGGTAAATGCCAAAAATACCCGCTACTGTGCCCGGTCCATCACCACGATGTCAGGTTTGTTCGCGACAATCGTCCTGTCCGTGATGATGGGCCGGTCCCAATAGAGCTTGGCGCGGTCATTTTCGAGCACGGCCTCCGGAGAGTACTTGTAGTACGGCAGTTTCGGTTCCACGAGTCCGTATTTCAGAGCGAGCTCCTGGTGTAGAATTAAATATTATTATTATTATGTTATTTGCTACAACAACTTTAGAATGTCAATGTTCAATAAATATCACTAATAATAATATGTATGAACAAGACACAGCTAGAACAGCTTTATTTTAGCACAAATTATCTACTTTTTTGCTTGGTCAATTTACATTGCATGTAAACACTTTATACCCATATAATACTTATGCTAACAGAGATTGTTTGTTGGGCATGTCATATAACATATTTCTGTCAGCATCTCTCCCGCCGTCCTGTATTAAATCTCACATCAACATTGGCAATGGGGGTATGGACTGTATCGGTTAAGTTTTGCAGGTGAACGGCGTCGGCAAGTCGACCAACCTGGCGAAGGTGTGCTTCTGGCTGCTGGAGAACGATCTGTCCGTGCTGATAGCGGCCTGCGACACCTTCAGGGCCGGTGCGGTGGAGCAGTTGCGCACGCACATGCGGAGGCTGGACGCGCTCCATCCGCCTTCAGTGCACGGCCGTCGGATGGTCCAGCTGTACGAAAAGGGATACGGTACGATTCCCGCACGAGACAGCTGCTTGTGTGATCAGCGAATTGTTTCGGATCTTTGTGTTTGTCCGCTTGATATTTATGTATTTAAAACGTACTTCCCTTCTACCAATGGTCAAAGGGATAAAGAACATAGTATGTTTGGTGAATAAGTAAGTGGAAGCATAGGCCTATGTGGTACCTGGAGCTTACTAAAAGAGTGATGCAAATGCTTTTGTTGGTAAGAACACTAATACCAGTGTAGTGTTACAAGACTGGATATGGAAGAAGTAACGTAGTAATCCCTGTAGAGTCAGGATAGGACAGTTGTACAGCTCGTCACTCCATCTAGTGGGAGTGGTCATGTAATTGCAGTGTGAAAATTATAGATACTTACACACCATGTCACTCCGTCTAGTGAGGTTGGTCATTTGCAAGGTGCCACTTACAGGCAAGGACGCGGCGGGCATAGCGATGGAGGCGATCCGGCACGCGGCAGACTCGAAGATCGACGTGGTGCTGGTGGACACGGCCGGCCGGATGCAGGACAACGAGCCGCTGATGCGCGCCCTGGCCAAGCTGATCACCGTCAACTCGCCCGACCTGGTGCTGTTCGTGGGCGAGGCGCTGGTCGGCAACGAGGCGGTCGACCAGCTCGTCAAGTTCAACCAGGCGCTCGCCGATCACAGCGCAGCCAGCGAGCCGCACGTGATCGACGGAATCGTGCTCACCAAGTTCGACACGATCGACGACAAGGTGGGAGCGGCGATCTCGATGACGTACATCACCGGGCAGCCGATCGTGTTCGTCGGCACCGGCCAGACCTACACGGACCTGAAGGCGCTGAACCCGGAGGCGGTGGTGAGGGCGCTGATGAAGTAGACCGATACACCTAGTGGGGGCGCTGATGAAGTAGACCGATATACCGTCGGTGCTTGGGCGCAGCTGACTACCGAAGGAGGAGAAATTTTTATTTGGTAAAAAAAAGAGTCTAAATTTAGCAATCAACGCACCAAAGAGGTCACCAATCACCGTTGTGTCGGGAAAAAGTTACGCGAAAAAGTTTTCGCGTAAGGTAAACAATGTAACTAAACAGTTAAAAATGTCAATAGAGATAATATACTCTCACACGGCTCACAGTGAAGCTTGCTTTGCCGTGGCATATATTTTATACACCAAGATATAGATGATCACACGATTCGCCTTGATACATTAATATCCTTTTTTTTTAGTTTGGTTTCTATACTAATGTTTATAAATAGTACCTAGTTGATGAAATAGCATGATAAGTATGGGAGTTAATATCACCTTTAATAATAATTCTCCTGATCATGAAACAAAAGTATTATAATTTATATTATGGTTATAAAATTTAGAATTATTACTTATTTATTCATTAATTTGACATTTCAAAAATCATACATTATTTTTCTTTATTAATTTCACAGAGGAAAGCAAAATTTTTACGGATGTTTCGTCGCATGACGCTCGCGTCATAGACTAAGCGTAAATCAGTCTCGTCATCTTTATATCTACTGATTTTTCTTCAATGATTTTTTTGATTATTAGAACAATTTTAAAAGTCAACAATTTGGGTAACCATTATCACATAACTATCTTTTTCAATAAAATAAAAATACAACACTAAATTCAGTAGATAACAGGCCAAGTTTGATACAGAATACTAACAATTCATGTATTCATTATTGTTGGATTATTTATTTTGAAGATTGGAAAATTCTAATTCTAACAAAATGCTCTCTCAGATCTTCTAACACTTACTACAATACCACACTGGTAGACAGTTTTTTTTTGTTTCTTTCCTTCATTCAAGACTTTGGTATTGATAAAAGTATCTCAGCTGCGCCCAATCTGTTGGTCAACTTCAGAATTAGCATTATAATATCTGTGCCCTCGAAAATTACTCAAAATTATGAATGATAAAATGAATTATGCAATTGGAACATTTATGGTAATGGTTTTTGATATTCCAGCAAATAAAATGTTTATTTTCTTATGATTATTTATTTTCATGTTATTTTTCAGATGTTACAGGGATATATTCATATACCGTTATTGCTCTGATTTAGTAGGCAAATATTTACGTGAAACTATAATATTCTGTGGTTTGAGATGTATAATATAGTTAAGCAATGTCATTTGTGTATAGGTCCACCCCAAATAGGTTTTATTACTTTTATCATATTGTACTAACTTGTGTAATATTCTAAAAGGCTTCCATAACGCGATACAAAGTAATATCAATTAGTGTAATTATATATAGTAGACTTATTTTATCAGTGCCTTCATTTTAATAAAACTAAGCTACAATGATAAAGCTTAGTTATAATTCCGAGCACTGCCCGTTGCCTTTTGTTATAATCATCATAAATTTAAATGTAAGAAAGTAGATTAATAATGTAGAAAGAAGAAATGGACCAGTAATATTTCTCGCTTTTTAAAAAAAAATGAACAGTTTTAAACTTCTTTTTCAGTTTGTCTTGGATAATGTGTGGGTTGATTATATTAAATGATTTGTCATTTATACCTTTCTTAACACCTAGTTTTTTAGATAATTGCATTTTCTCACGTTTACATTTTCATAACTGTTATTTGCCTCCGAATCCAATAGTAACCATATTTTTGGACCAAGAAATCAAAAATTGAGAATATTGTGAGATATGAATGCATCTTGTCTTAAAAATATAAAAAAATCACTGTGAAATACCTGTGTCTAAACAAAAAAATAATTAGGAACAAGTCAATCCCAGAAGTACCTTAATATATTTTTTTCCATTAAAATTTTGCAAAATTTCAAAAATTGTCTCTACCGCATTTGCTGCTTAGTACTTAAAATAAAGTAATTCAAAAACATACATGAGATATATTTAATCTTTTGTAATTTACTTTACTATTTTTAGTACCAAAACTTGAAATATTACTGGCATTTTTATAAAACAAATCAATATTAAATGCTAGGGTAAACGTTTAATTACTTAATTCCTACTCTTTGCACCTTCTATGAAAAGTTTAAATTATTTTGCTTCCTTTATTTCAATGGGGATCGCGAAAGAAAATAAAAATTAACAGTAACTTTTTGAAGTTCATATCTTAGAAGTTTAATTTTGTCAAACTACTGTAATAACTGATGATAAAAGGTTATAACATCTAATGTTATACGTACTATACGTTTTATTGGTTCAAGGGTCGATCACTTCTAATGGCGGGAAAATAAAAAAAAACCTATGGTCAAGTTGGTTACCAGCAATTAAGTCTTATCACTTTTTGTCACGTTAATAGTATTTGAAAGCTTTCGTGGACTATTTATCATCTTTAATTCCTAGTTTCGTAGTTTTCCTGATTGCATTATGGCTATAATATCATTTGCCATTAATGAATACTTTAACAATTGTACCTTATATGGACCAGCGAATTATATTGTTTACTTAAATGACAAACAAATGATTATAAATATTTGCTACCATTTATGTATATAATAAATTGAATTGAAGTATAATTGGTAGTTTTTATGATAGAAACATATAATTATCTTGGCCAGTATTATCTTAGTAATTTTTTTAACTAAGTATTCCGGGTTGTCGGTTCAGTATACTCGATATACTCGTAAGCGATGACTTGCAGAAGCGGGTGTTGGAAATAATTTTACTTTCTTTATTTTTTCGTGTATTACTTACAAAACTTAAATATCTATACTTATCTAAACAATAAATTTATTAATTGAGCTCCGTATAGAGCAATGTGTATCAATCGGCCTTTTAGCTCAGTGGTTAAAGCGGCTGGGCGCGAATCCGGTAGACTTGGGTTCGATGGTGTTGTTGTGGTCCGACGCCGTTATTACCGACAAATACTATACAACGTGTCGTTAGCATCGCGACAATAAATGAACACATGTCTAACACTACTTGCCAATAATCATAAAAAAATATTAACGTTAAAAGAAATACATAATTTAAAAAAAATATTTTTCAAACAAAGTAATTAAGTAAAAAAGAAACAAAATTTGTAACATTCTATACAACTACAACTGACCGATTCATACATTCAGAGACTTCTTTCATTCGTTGCCACAGCGTCGCATTACAAGCCTCTCCTTCCAGCAGTATGTTTTGTCTCTTTTAAATTCATTCAAATCATATGCTTTGTAACCTTTACAAATGAACTTTACATTACAGTTTTATACGTAAGAAGGTGTTCTAAGATTCTTTGTTTTGGAAAATTTAATAACTCTTTAAATATTGATATTTAAAGAAAGTAAATGTTTAATACAATTTTAAAAAGTTATCCTCTATAATATGTAAGCTCATTTATTGTCGCGATTGTAAAGACACGCTGTATAATAAATAATAATAAAAAAATAATCTAATACGTCCATGGGCGGCGGTTATCTATATATAAAAAAGTATAGCAAAAGATTTATATTCAGGTAAAAAATTCTATTAGACGGTATTAATGTTTTTTATTTGTCTTGGTTGTATGGATTTTAGGGGAAGTTTGTCAGCGACGATAGGTCTGGCTGTTAATAGAGTGAAACCAGTGGCAGAATAAGCCCTTCAGAGGCCCGAGGCGGCAAAACTTAAATGAGGCGCCTAGTTTAAGAAGTAGATCTAATTTTACAAGCTTTTTACTTAAACATTTCACTTTGCATTCGTATAAGCATTTATCACAACATAGTATAAAAGAAAGTCGTCCCGCTGGCTGTCTGTCCCTATGTATGCTTAGATCTTTAAAACTAATGGATCTTATTGCATTTTTTTACTAGATATAGTGATTCAAGAGGAAGGTTTATATGTATAATTTAACATTTTACAGATCAATCTTTACTCAATACAGTATTGACGGGCGTTTTAAATTATTGTCATAAAAAGTATGAACTTTTTCCAAATTATCGATAAAAAATTGACACTTCAAGGACAAGTTTCCAGGCATCGTTTAAAATTAAATTCAATGCGTATGCCGACAGTGAACATGATCGACATTTGGGACAAGCTCTTATAGGCTTCTTTTTTCGCCATCGTAACCCTGACGTCTACATTTGAACAAATCAATTCCATTTTCTTTAGGTTTTCAGTTTTAAATCTTTGCACTACAATCGAATATATGAACCCCAAAATTTACTCTAAGATTTTTATTTCAAGATGTATATTTTAATCTAAGGTTAATCGACAAACTAGAGAACGTTGATAAATTTTTATCAACTTAAAAGGAGTTCTTATAAAGTAAGGTCCCTAATTAGATAATATACGTAAAATTGATAAGATATTTTAAATTTAGTGTTAATTGTACTACATGTCGCCAGAAAGTAATTATTCTGTTGATTTCATGCCATTACTGCGCAACCTCGTATATGACATTATTATATTGTATACGTTATGATTTTTTTTCCGGAAATTACTACCTAAGAGATTTAGTATGATAGACGAATTTTTGATTTCCCTTGATTAGCAGTAGTAGTAATTTCATTTATAAGTTGTAAATAACCTATTCAGACTGTATTGATTTAGGTATTCGTGTTTTATCAGGAAAAAATAATATTCGTATGGGACAACTCCAACTCCTTAGTTAGGCACATAGATAATTTTAAAGCCCTGTTTAGGATTTTTTTCAAGGAAAATTGAAGGCGTTTGTAAATGAATGAAACAGTAATGAATTTTTAAAAATCGGTTAGTAACTGGTGAAACGAAATCCTAGAACAATTTCTTTGAGACCACGAATTTTTTTTTTTTTTTTTTTTTTTATGCGAAAAGTTGTCAAACGAGCAGACGGTTCACCTGATGTTAAGTGAATACCGCCGCCCATAGACATCTGTTACACCCGAGGGTTACAGATGCGTTGGCAACCTTTGGAAAATTGGGCTACAATTGGGATACAGCCGTTTATGACATAGGCCGGCATAATTTCGCAATTATTGTTTTATTTGAACTACGTTATACACTCTCACTTACCCGCGACACTGCCGAGCGGCCGTCTTCATAAGACCGAATCGTCTGCCTATTACGTGCCACACTTGTATGAGTGCAATATTCAATCTATAATTTTTACTGGTTTAGTTTTTTTTATTTATTATTTATTTTAGGTGACATAGATAACCTACATATAGTGTAGATCGTAATTTATATTATATTTTAATTTATATCGTAGTGTTTTTTTTTTTATATTCGCTGTGATGTAAATATAATCTGTGTGTCAACCATATCATTTCAATTTATATTAAGTGACGTTTCCCGGTACTTATTCTAATCAATTATTGCAGTGCAGGTTAAATTTAGAAAACGTGGTTGTTTGCGCATTAGATTGCGTCTCAAGCAGTTATTTTGTTGTAAGAAGTATATTATAAAGCAAAACTAATAAGAACAAAGAAAATGAACCTTGAATTGCAATACGGTGAACTGTCAAACGACGAGGACTTCGTTAATAAATGTGAAGATCTTAAAATGAATTTAATTGAAGTGCAGAAGGTCTTGGATCAACTGTTACCTCTCAAAGCGCAATACGACAAGATGTCACTTCCAGCTCAAATTGAACTGGATCTTTTCCTCTTATTTGCTTTAAATTCACTTCATTGGATAAATTTGCGAATACAAGGGGTGGATCCTACTACTCATCCTATTAAAGATGAACTTCAGAGAATAAAAGCAACCATGGCGAAATGGCAGCAGGTGAAGGACCGCAAAAAAAGACCCACATTGGATATTGAAGCAACTAAAAGATTCGTCAGAAGTGGCTTATACGATCCGCACAAAGAAACTGCAAAACCGCCAAATAAGATATTCAAATATGATAATTAAGTTTGAGAAACTAAGTTAATTTTAATTAAAAGACTGAGTTTTCATTGGAGAAGTTTCTCATCTTAACTTTTGTTATCCATTCATTTTGGAGTTTCTATGGTTTTATGTGTGTTAATTATTCTATTTATTAATAGCCTATAAGATATTTTGGTATAAAAATAGTCTAGTAATTAAAAGTATAAAAGTAGAATAATCATTTATTGTAGTTAACAATATTTTTAGAATTACTATTGCCATATATGTTAACTATAAAATTTGCATGTATCACATACTATTAGAATTATTAAGATTATTTCAATGATCACTGAAAGAAGTTCCTTTTTTAATGTTTTCTGTAAAAACATTGGTTTGATTTATTATTGTTTAGTTTCTTCTCAGCTTGTGTATTGCATGTGTTTGTATTTACCCATATAATAAAGTTACCTAATTGTATAACCAATTGTAAAATGTTTAAGAATTTTCAAATAAAATACCCTTGTATACAATTTTTTTTAATTGTTACCTCAAGTTCACATAAATTAGTTAAATTTTTTAAGTCTACTTAAGTTCATTGTGGAATGTTTGATATAGACATACAAAAATTCAATATTTTAATAATTTAGAATTATGAAAAACTGAGAATAGTCAAATTGTATAAAATTAATATAAAAGTTACAACAAATTGTCAATAATAGTCACATGTAATTGCTTTTTGTTCATTGTTTCATGAATATTTATACTAACCTTACCTAATTATAATTATTGCCTCAACATGGAATGAAAAGTAATTATGAAAAGGCGAAACAGTATAACAAGTTTTAAAATAAAATTGATAAACAGAATAATAAATAAAAGTATCTAATAATTTAACATTACACTAGTTCAGCTAAATTTGTAGTTAATATTCCTTTACTATGCAATTTATACATGAAAAGATATAAAGGATCAACTATCAAGCACAATATGAAATAAAAAATTTAACATTTTGTAATGCATAAAAACATGATTGTTCATTAAGTTGCATTCATTTCTTACTTGATGCTTATATATAAATGCATAACTAAAATGTAACAAGATTATTTTAAAATTGTTATAGATTATTTGACTTAGTATCATATTTCAACTTGTAAAACTAATCCCGCTGCTGAAATGTTGTCTCCAGCGCCAGCAGTCAATTGTGCCTCTGTACAAATGAGAACTGGTGCAACACATATTTCTACTTTATCTCCTTCTATCAACTCCTGCCAACAAGCTACTGGTTTGTTTGGCTCAAAAAATACTCGACTGGTGTTATCATTGTCAGTGGTGGTTGAGAAACTGTCATCGAGTAGGAGCTTTGTCTTTTCCAGATTAATATTCTGCGTATTGCAAACATATCTGTGTGCGGTTAGCGACGCTTTGGCGGCAGCCGCCGCTGTCCTTTTCCATTCAGAGTTCTGAACTGTTAATATTGCTTGGTAGGCTAACGTGTGTACATGCATTCGTGTCAATTTTCTTGTACTACTAAATAATTTATTTTTCTCTCTTATTAGCCGGAATGTACTTCTCATTTGATCAAGGGCTGTAGCTATTCTAGGATTGGAGTCTGCCACAACCACAACTCGACCATGCTCCAAAACACTATTTAAATTTGAGAGTTCTTGTTCATTCATACCCACAGAATCAACATATGGCAGTACTTTTGTGGTTAAGTGTTGCAATAATTCTAGATCCACATAACTTGCCATTTCAAAATGAGCTAATGTCTTCAGCGGCTGGGATAAAATTTGTTCTTTCACTAAATCTAACCTTTCTGCTCTTAAGTCTGTAAATAAAACAAACAAAACAAGTGAAGAATTTGAAATAGAATTTTGTCAGTTTCATTAGAACACAATGCATGTTGGTTGGCCCTGTGGTGGTCAAAGACAATAAAATAGCTAATTGGATATTAAAGCAGCTAATATCTATGCTATTCATAAAAATTCTGAATGTCACTTAAATAGCAACTACTTTTTTTATTTTAGTGAAATGGTAACTAAGAAATTGGTCCACTTGTTAAGTAAGGACTGCTGCCCATGATTACAACATCAGAGATGTTGCAGGTTTGTTGCAAATACAGAGTGAATCTCCAATTACCTGCCACACCAGACGACATAAAAGTACTAATACTTTTATTTCACTTTGGTATTTCTAATGAAATGGCCTAATGGCCATTCTAAATTCTTTGTCGAGCTAGCAAACTCATGCAGTGCAAGTTGTTACTGTTTATTTAAGATGTTTCTGTTTTTTTACATCATTTATGGTTATGGGTCAGGACATTTCCAACTTTAAAAACACCTTAAGTAGTTTAATAATATTGATGTTATAGATGGCATAAAGCATCTTACCTCTGCCTTCTTGTTTAAAAGGAAAGTTATCCATCATTTGAAGACCACTTATGACTAGTAAATTCGGTTTGAAATTCGGCAAATATTCACCCAGTTTCTCTAAAGAACTTAACAAGGGATTGTTCTCATCATTGTGCATTATATATCGATTGGCTCTTGGTGCTTTATAATTACCAAACTTTTCATCAGCTTTGTACTCTAGTATCATGTGGACATCGTCCCTTACTTCTTCGTTCTCTTCATCTCCCACAATTAATATTTCATCTGGAATGTATGTTTTCAGTTTTTTACTCATTTTAGCCCCAAACAGCACCTTCCACCCTTCTATGAAGAATCTTTTTGCCATTAGTGGTGCATTTCCACCAATTGCCCACCTGGTGTCTGGCAATTTTAGGGCTTGTTCAACAAGATCATCATATAGTTTACTGTTGGACATGAATCTCCTGAAAAAATTTACATTTTTTTTAAATATATTATTTATTTCATTATTGTGAGTGATAATAGAATACAAACATTTAAAAACAGCTTCCTCATCCTGACTTTGTGTGTTATAGTTAAATAATGAATATTATGCATAACTTGCTATCATAATATTTATAACTTAAAGACTACCACATAATCACCAAATATATCATCACTACCTTACAGTTTTGGCTTCTGGCTCTATCTACAAATATTGGGTGTTCTGTATAAAGACCTATTTTAGTTATATTCTATGTTATTTACAAATAATGCAACTTTTCATATATATTTTTAGAACAAATAATGATAGACCCTTGTAAACTACCACTGTGCACCATGATCAATAAATAGTTGCTATGTATATAAATATGTTTGTGAGCCTCCATGGGTACAGGACCTGATTCCTAATGGAGAAAACACTGGGTTTATAAAAAAAATTAAGTGAACATGATTGTTTCAATAGCTTGAAGTAAAACACTCACTACGCAATAAATGCACACTGATAACTTTGAAAAATGTTTATAACTTAAAGTATGACTTACTCAGCAGCCGCACCATGTTTAAAGAAATAGGTGAAACTTTTAACAAACTCTTTTTTATTTGTGATCTCGTTAAAGTGTTCAGGTTGGCCCTCTAGATCTTGATAATTTAAGAACGACGTCGCGTTTACAAATAAATCGTGGCACGCTCCATAACCTAAAGCCACTTTAGGTTGAGAAAGTCCAATGCCAACTTTGTTCTGACTTTCCAAAAACAGTAAATGTTCCTTCACAGGCGATAATCTCACATCTCCTATGTCATTTTTACGGAAATATATCGCATAGAGAACAATACCAAAAGATAATAATGAACCCAATTTCACCGGAGCTCCCGCCATTTTCAAGAAGTAATTAAATATATACGACTGTACACTTGGAATGCTTGGACTATTAACTTCATGTAGATCCACGTCACCTCATTTTATTATGATGAATTGTAAATATTTAATGTGAATTTTAGTTGCATGACAATTTTCTAGGGACAATCGGCCAATGACTGTGACGGACTCATGTCAAAGTCAAAGTGACACTTAAAAAAAAAAATTTTGAAAGGTTTACGTCAGCTTAACGCCGCCATGTGGCTGGGCTGGTGACAAGAAGGCTCTAGCCTTTTTCTCGCACAAACTTTTGTTTTTTAATAAAGATTTTATGGCCTGGTAAAACACAAAGGTTAAGCTATTCATCGAGGAATTGCCGCTACCGTTCTAGGCACCATGCCGCGTGGACTACTGGACGAGGTTTATTTGATAATATGTAATTTAGATAGAGTTTAAGCTGTAAATATTGGATAAATAAATTGTTTAGTACGTAATACTAACAAAATTTTTTAAATATAGTTTATGCCGATTTTTATAAAATTGTTAAAATTTCTTTTTTTTACCATTCGTCCCGAAAACAGTACCTACCAAAGTTCTCAATCTCAACCTTATCCCCAGTATCTCCCCTACTATCCCCACTTAAACGTAGTGATTACATTCTCTCTGCTTATCCGAAGGAATAAGGCCGAAATTACGAGACATACACATATACCGACGAAATATCACTTACGTTAAAATCATATAAGCAAATTAAATTTTTTATAGTGTTTATCTCTACACTTAAAATGAAATATTAAAATTTGTTGAAGTCGGAAAAAGACGGTCGTCTGGATTCTTATCAGTGCGGCCGGTGACAAGAGGGCTGGTTCGAGTTCTAAGCGACTATGGTGACATTTGTTATTTCGAAGAACTTTTAAATAATTCGATTCGTCTTCAATCTTCGTAAATTGCGACCATGTCTTCCTATCACTTATAACTACAATGGTTATCTATTCGTCAAAGACGTTTTCAAGAGCGCTGATCAAATTTTTTTCTTTCCTCGGTTCAATATATTTTCTATAATCAATAGAAATATATACCCTGTTTAAATTCATACCATGTTATACATGTCTGATGTTTATTATCGTCTAAATTCTGATTGATATTATGATAATGCTTTTGATTTTATTATTATTTATTTAAGGAAGCAGGGTCCATTAAAAATTAGCAGTGCCTGAAAGGAGTATCTAAGTTTATAAGCGCTTCTTTATTGTATCAACAACTACACATCACATAGATTGAAATGAAATGATTGAATTGAATTGAATTTCTTCGTTCACTTCATCTTAATTATCTCCCCACATTCAATACCTTTGTATCGTAAACAATAATAATCTTAGTACAACAAATAATCGTCATCTCCAACATCCTTCTCAGCGTTCTGATTTTATGCACTCTTCTTTCTGCATCCAATCTATTTCTATGTGGAATACGCTACCTCTAGAAATTATGATAGCTAAGAGTCGTTACGCTAATAAAAGGACTTATCGCGAGCATTAACTCAAAAAGTTATCGGCAGAGTCTTTCCACTGTTATATATAGGAGTATGTATATGTTTATATATTTCGTATGTATTTATATGTATATTTACGTGCGTATGTGTTTATGTATATATTTTTGCTTTTTTGTATATATTATTACATATGTAACTACGTTTATTATAATATGTTAGTGTTGTTTTGTGTCCAGTCATCCTGCAATTTATTATTGTATATTGTGTATTACAAGTTGTCTTCAATTTATTTATTTCTCTTGTTATTTATTGTTTAATTTGCGCATCTTAGACAACGAATTCCCCCCGAGTTCGCTGACCAGAGGCCATGGGTCCAGGAGAGCCTCTTCCTCCGCTACCCCATTACTACTGTACTTAGGTACACTTTATTTTTCTCTGTGTTTTTATTTTTGTAATTTTAATGTTAAGTCTTGTATCATGATGTTTAATGTTTTATTAATGTTTTTACTGCAAATATCTTTAACGTCATTACTCCGCGACTCTGCGTTACAGGACCGCTGAGTCGCGGAGGATAGGGAGAACTGCCAAAAACAATTCCGACACTCCTCTTCCTCCGCGATTCCACCTCTGTAGCAAAAGGCAGGGAGAATGACTCTTCCTCCACCTCCCACCCAGCACGGATCCAGAGTGGGCTCAATGAAGGGGCTCATTGAGCCTTTTCACCGCGGGTGACCAATTGGCTTCGCCGTTGGAGACCAATCCACGTTTACTAAGCCCCTTCGTCACGACCAGGCCCCGGACGAGCTCTAGTGTTATATTATTTTACAACCCAGACCGTTGGGACCGCACTTCATCCGATTATAATATTCCTATTGAATTTTACGAAAGATGCGGAAGCAGAAGGAGAATTTTTGGAATTGAAAACTTCTATAGGCTCGTTGGGCAATTTTTTGTATGAAAAAATCACGTATTTTGTCATTGAAATTGGTGACCTTAAAATTTTGATATCATTTGATTTTCTAACATTTGATCTCTGTATAATAATAAGTAATATCTTAAAACTACATTGTTATTTAGCACTTGAAGCAATGCTTTGGCGCATCTATTGTTATATCCTTTCCAGCATACAAACAATTTCGAATATCGTTTTACAACGATAACTTCGAACGAGAGATCTCGCCATTGCTTTTTTAGAAATTTAAAGTTTTTTATAGTGCTAATCTCTGCACTTAAGATTTAACATTAAATTTTAATAATCGTTGATTGATCTTAATACTTCATCTAAGTAGTATGTCATTACACAATGAAGAAAAATAGCCAATATAAAACAAATAAGTGTTAGATACTTTATATTATTGGCTTTAGCCTTTGACTTCGCGTGGACATGGATTTCATGCAAATATGAAAAATACTACCTGCGCCAGTTAATAGCCAACAAAGTTTTTCGGTAGCAATCAGAAACATTATAATTTATAGAAATTTAAAGTTTTTATAGTGCTAATCTCTGCACTTAAGATTGAACATTAAAATATGTAGAAATAGTACGAAAATATTGTCGCCGCTGTGGGAATCGAACCTACTTCTTCGGCATTCGCGGCTTGTCGCTTTAGCCACTAAACTAAACGGCTGATTGCCACACCGACGAAAATCTTTACGTCTTTTAGCTACATTGTTTTTATAGCATTTGAAGCAATGCATAGCACATGTATTGTTATATCCATACATCCACGTCTCTCTGGAATGGAACGTTACTGAACCTAGTTCTATTCTTTACTGCCATAATTAGGCATCAGAGAGCTCTCTTATGATCTTATATCCTCCGTAAAGCAGCTCCTACTAGTTTTGTTCCTATTTTTATCTTAACATAATTATTTTTCACATAATAAACTTAAGTAACTGTTGGCATGAATAAAAAGTTAATATTTTATTTTACAACCCAGCAACTTTATTATATCTCCATATATAGTGACTTACTAAAAAGGTTTGTTAAGTTGATTAAGATAAGCACAGGTGACAGTTTTTATCCAGATATTTTTATAAGGCATCATTAGCGTACAGCATCCTTTTTGAATTCTTATAATTAAGGTAGTGCTAACAGCAATTAAAATTATTATTAAATGTTGTTAAAATGAACAACGGAGAGACACTTAAATAGATAGTCTAAGAATTGATATATTTACTCGATCGTTTCCATAGCTATTAAATAAACATAAAAACTATTAAAAATATTTGTAAAAAAACCTTACTGATGTTTCAACTTTATACATACATACCTACATATAATAATATTTTTTACATTTTATTTTAAATATTTTAGGACACATTTTAGTTCACACAAAGTTCTTTTGTCCCAAACTAAGAAACGCTTGTATGGGTATTAGATAACTGATAAACGTACTTGAACATACTTTTCTCGTGTAACACACAATATTTTTTAGGGATCGAGATTAATTAGTGAAGGAATTGTAATATTTTTTTTTGTTATAATAATAATTTTTTTTATTATTAACAAATGTAATGTAATATTTTTTTTTCCTTTTTCTATTCAACCTGCAAGCAGTCATCTTAACTATAATCAGGTAAGTTGTAAGAGATTGGAGTTTGGCGAGGTGGAGCCATTGCTCCATCTCCCCTTAGTAAGGCAGCACATCAGCTCTCTTGAGTCTTCTAATCGGATTTGGCTGCAGGAGCATACTGGATAATGGGTTTGGATGAGTTTTCAAACGGTCCTTGTAGTTGGCTGAGTATCGTTTCACTTCGTCCAAAATAGTACGGAGCCCTGGGGCACTCCGGCCTTGCAGCTAAACAGAGAAGATCTTGCGTCGCGTAGCTTGACTTGAAACTTTCTGTCACTAAGATAAGAGTCCATCAGCAGGTAGTAGGAGTGCGGTAGGTGTTTTTTGATTTTACACAGTAGTCCTTTGTGCCATACCCGATCAAAGGCTTGTTGTACATCAAGAAAAGCAGCCGAACAATATTCTTTCTTTTCCATGCACTGTCTTATTGTACAACAGACTCTATGTACCTGCTCTATGGTAGAGTGGTGCTTCCGAAAACCGAATTGGTGGTCAGGTATTATATGGTCCTCGTCAAGGCAAGGGGATAATCGTGCAAGGATGATCCTTTCCCACAATTTTGACAGCACAGGCGTCAGGCTAATAGGACGATAAGATGAAACTTCACTAAGCGGCTTACCAGGTTTATGAATCATTACAATTTGAGATATTTTCCAGAGTGCGGGAACATACGAGATTCTCAGTGTAGCATTGATAAGGATGGTCAAAAAAACAATGCACTTTTTAGGAAGCTCTTTCAGTACCCTGGTAGTGATTAGATCAAAACCAGGTGGATTGGGATCCATTTCTGCTAATACTCTAGCTATTTCCCTCGGTGTTGTAGGTCTCAGTGGCAGGCATAGTTGCAGATCTTGCTTTAGGACTTCATTTATTTTTGGATCTTCAGGGCTATCCATATTGTTGGGTTTAAAGACTCCCGCTAAGTATGTAGCAAAGGCCTGGGATTTTTCTTG